TAGCTAATTCATTATACAAATGTAAAAAGCTAAACAATATAACTGCTGCATCTCAAGTTGGATTCTGGTTAGGATCCTTCTCAGGGAAAAATTGATTGTTGAAAATAAACCATATATTTAAGTGTTTGACATTTTAGAAATGTGGTTCTCTAGTGCCTAACAAGCTCTTAAGATAAAGCCTGATACAATCTTAAATTAGCACAAGAGGCCTGCTATCCTCTACTTACTATATTACTGGTTTAGAAATCCCAATCTATCTTGGTTTGTACCTTCCTGTAGGAAACATTGTGGGAAAGGCTGCTGCTGTGCATGGAGTGAACATTATTTCTTTAACAACATCAGATTCTGTTGGTTTTCCAACTCGGCTGTGATCTTTAAGTGCATTACCACTTAGTTAAGCACATTTTTACATTCAAATAATAGAAAACGACAAGGTCATTGTTTTGTCCACTTTTATTTCAATTCCTTGCTTAGTTTAGTTTCATGGCTCATGGCTACAGATCTCTTGGTAAAATAAACACTCATCACTGTCAAGGTATACATAAATTGGGGTTTCTGTCCCTGCAATCCTGCACAAGAAAATAAAAAATGGTCTATTTTTTTTGTATCTAATGGTCCTCGAACAGCCAGTCACACAAGGCAGTAAAGTGAGTCTAGGACAAAAAAGGAGACACTACCATTAAAAAGGTACAACGTTTTATTCAAAAAAAAGTAATGACTTGATTTTTAGATTCCCCGATATTATAAATAACTAGCCATTAGTAACAAATGAGCTCAGTTATCAGATATGAATACATACAGCAGAAGTACACCTGTGCATGTAGGTTGCATTAAGCCCCTAACATTACAGGTTTGTTTTTTTCATGTACTGTAAACGTAGTGTGTGCATTATGGACTCACTTAGGTATGACTGTTAGTATTGGTCCTCTGTTTGCTTTGGTTGAATTGTGTCTGGACAGTAAGCAACACAGATAGAGGATATTAAGCATGACAATAAAAAAGAAAATTCTAATAAAAAAAATATTTTAAATAAAACGTTTTGGATATCATTTTAAATGACCAGGGGACAGACAGTGAAAGAGTACACAATATTGTCTTTTAAAATCTTGTAGAGTATTCTACTACTTGTAGACCTAGAGAACCTCTCCCACTCCTCCATGCAGAGCTAGTGAAGATGAGGAGCACGTTCAGCCACAGACTCATCCCTCCATGCAGAGCTAGTGAAGATGAGGAGCACGTTCAGCCACAGACTCATCCCTCCATGCAGAGCTAGTGAAGATGAGGAGCACGTTCAGCCACAGACTCATCCCTTCATGCAGAGCTAGTGAAGATGAGGAGGAGCACGTTCAGCCACAGACTCATCCCTCCATGCAGAGCTAGTGAAGATGAGGAGCACGTTCAGCCACAGACTCATCCCTCCATGCAGAGCTAGTGAAGATGAGGAGCACGTTCAGCCACAGACTCATCCCTCCATGCAGAGCTAGTGAAGATGAGGAGCACGTTCAGCCACAGACTCATCCCTCCATGCAGAGCTAGTGAAGATGAGGAGCACGTTCAGCCACAGACTCATCCCTCCATGCAGAGCTAGTGAAGATGAGGAGCATGTTCAGCCACAGACTCATCCCTCCATGCAGAGCTAGTGAAGATGAGGAGCACGTTCAGCCACAGACTCATCCCTCCATGCAGAGCTAGTGAAGATGAGGAGGAGCACGTTCAGCCACAGACTCATCCCTCCATGCAGAGCTAGTGAAGATGAGGAGCACGTTCAGCCACAGACTCATCCCTCCATGCAGAGCTAGTGAAGATGAGGAGGAGCACGTTCAGCCACAGACTCATCCCTCCATGCAGAGCTAGTGAAGATGAGGAGCACGTTCAGCTACAGACTCATCCCTCCATGCAGAGCTAGTGAAGATGAGGAGCACGTTCAGCCACAGACTCATCCCTCCATGCAGAGCTAGTGAAGATGAGGAGCACGTTCAGCCACAGACTCATCCCTCCATGCAGAGCTAGTGAAGATGAGGAGGAGCACGTTCAGCCACAGACTCATCCCTCCATGCAGAGCTAGTGAAGATGAGGAGCACGTTCAGCTACAGGACTCATCCTCCATGCAGAGCTAGTGAAGATGAGGAGCACGTTCAGCTACAGACTCATCCCTCCATGCAGAGCTAGTGAAGAGAGGAGCACGTTCAGCCACAGACTCATCCCTCCATGCAGAGCTAGTGAAGATGAGGAGCACGTTCAGCCACAGACTCATCCCTCCATGCAGAGCTAGTGAAGATGAGGAGCACGTTCAGCCACAGACTCATCCCTCCATGCAGAGCTAGTGAAGATGAGGAGCACGTTCAGCTACAGACTCATCCCTCCATGCAGAGCTAGTGAAGATGAGGAGCACGTTCAGCCACAGACTCATCCCTCCATGCAGAGCTAGTGAAGATGAGGAGGAGCACGTTCAGCCACAGACTCATCCCTCCATGCAGAGCTAGTGAAGATGAGGAGCACGTTCAGCTACAGACTCATCCCTCCATGCAGAGCTAGTGAAGATGAGGAGCACGTTCAGCCACAGACTCATCCCTCCATGCAGAGCTAGTGAAGATGAGGAGGAGCACGTTCAGCCACAGACTCATCCCTCCATGCAGAGCTAGTGAAGATGAGGAGGAGCACGTTCAGCCACAGACTCATCCCTCCATGCAGAGCTAGTGAAGATGAGGAGCACGTTCAGCCACAGACTCATCCCTCCATGCAGAGCTAGTGAAGATGAGGAGGAGCACGTTCAGCTACAGACTCATCCCTCCATGCAGAGCTAGTGAAGATGAGGAGCACGTTCAGCTACAGACTCATCCCTCCATGCAGAGCTAGTGAAGATGAGGAGCACGTTCAGCCACAGACTCATCCCTCCATGCAGAGCTAGTGAAGATGAGGAGCACGTTCAGCCACAGACTCATCCCTCCATGCAGAGCTAGTGAAGATGAGGAGGAGCACGTTCAGCCACAGACTCATCCCTCATGCAGAGCTAGTGAAGATGAGGAGCACGTTCAGCCACAGACTCATCCCTCCATGCAGAGCTAGTGAAGATGAGGAGGAGCACGTTCAGCCACAGACTCATCCCTCCATGCCAGAGCTAGTGAAGATGAGGAGCACGTTCAGCTACAGACTCATCCCTCCATGCAGAGCTAGTGAAGATGAGGAGCACGTTCAGCCACAGACTCATCCCTCCATGCAGAGCTAGTGAAGATGAGGAGCACGTTCAGCTACAGACTCATCCCTCCATGCAGAGCTAGTGAAGATGAGGAGCACGTTCAGCCACAGACTCATCCCTCCATGCAGAGCTAGTGAAGATGAGGAGGAGCACGTTCAGCCACAGACTCATCCCTCCATGCAGAGCTAGTGAAGATGAGGAGCACGTTCAGCTACAGACTCATCCCTCCATGCAGAGCTAGTGAAGATGAGGAGCACGTTCAGCTACAGACTCATCCCTCCATGCAGAGCTAGTGAAGATGAGGAGCACGTTCAGCTACAGACTCATCCCTCCATGCAGAGCTAGTGAAGATGAGGAGCACGTTCAGCCACAGACTCATCCCTCCATGCAGAGCTAGTGAAGATGAGGAGGAGCACGTTCAGCCACAGACTCATCCCTCCATGCAGAGCTAGTGAAGATGAGGAGCACGTTCAGCTACAGACTCATCCCTCCATGCAGAGCTAGTGAAGATGAGGAGCACGTTCAGCCACAGACTCATCCCTCCTCGGCACAGCACCAAGCGTCTGGGACACTCCTTTGTGCCTGTAGCCATCAGGCTGCACAACAAGGGGTCAACAATGTAACACAAAGTACTGTTCATCAAATCTGCACTGTAAATGTTACAACTTTGACCTGCACACATACATGTAAATATATTTAACAATCCGGAAGCAGATATGTATGCTATGTTAATTTAACTAAATTCTTGTTTTAACAGCTACTTACCTGTATATCATTTCTAATTTTTTTATTGTAATTGTATTAATCTTATGTGTATATACTTTCCTGTACTTTCGATCGCTCTCTGTTGCTGCTAAAACTCGTGAATTTACCCACCGGGATTAATAAAGGTCCATTGTATCTTATCTTATCTTTGAGTATAAGTATGAAGTACCATACATCTTATTTTTTTCAATGTTGTTTGAACATTCGAGCGATAGAATTACTAACAAAGAATTGCTAACAAAGCACTTATATACTAATAAAGGACTGGCTTATCTAAAGCCAGTTGAGTAGCACTTGAAATGTTTTGGCTCTATGAAACCTGATGTACTTATATGATTCTGTTTTCTTCAAGTTTGTGTCTTCCTGGTCGAATGTACTTATTGTAAGTCGCTTTGGATAAAAGCGTCAGCTAATGCAATGTAATGTAATGTTTGTCTCGCACAATTAAATGTCTAATTTATTTTTCTATTATTTTATTGTTTTGTATTTTATTCTCATTCCTTTTTTCCATTTTTTATCAGGAACATATGTACTGTACATCAAACATTACTGCGCACACACACACACACACACACACACACACACACACACACACACACACACACACACACACACACACACACACACACACACACACACACACACACACACACACACACACACACACACACACACACACACACACACACACACACACACACACACACAACACACACACACACACACACACACACACACACACACACACACGCACGCACATTATAGCAGTACATATAGAGTACATTTATTTAAATAATCATTTAAAGAAATATAAAGGAAACAGTGATAGAAACAAAAGGTAACATTTAAAGTAAAATATTAATCAAATACACATTTTGATTTGATGTTGCCTTCTTATTTTTATTTTAATAGTTTGAATAGTGGTGCCATATTGGAATATTCGGTACAAATGTGCAAGATGTGGTCAATCAATATCTTCCTGTGAATGTGACATTTTCCCAAATAGTAAATTAGTTTGTATTTTATTCTGTAGCAACAAATCAATTTGCGTCGCATCGTCACTTCCGCTCACGCTGTCTCCAGCTTGCATCATTTTTTGTCTCTCTCGTGCACCCGGTGGCGTACAACATGTGAGTAAATCCATTCAAACTGAAAATGAACAACATAAAAGTTTGATTACAGGCTCACTTCAATGAACACCTGATAGAGGGTGTGAGCAAACACATGTTGCCAAACTTTACTGTCCGATTAGCTACAAGCTAACTACCTGAAGCATTGACCGGCTAGCTTAGCCTGCTAGCTAACAACAAGGAGACGTCATTCTTGGGAACTCACTGCTGTGAAAAAGTGACTTATTGGACGCTTTGTGTTAGTTTGGGCATACTTTCTGGGGTTGTATGTTTGGCATGGAAAATCTCTTTTAAATAGCCGGATTGTAGCACAGTAAAATGTAAGAAAGACTGCGTGTTCTGTTGCCAAAGTATCGAGCACTGACTGTTTTGACAGCTATTAATAACATCTGAAAGGATCTGAGGAGGGTGTGAGACATTTACTGAGACACATGTTGCATATAATGTAGGTTAAACTTGTCCCTAACAATACTTAACATTGTTGTTAAACGTGCCAAAATTAGATATACTCATGCAGTCTTGGTTCAGTTGTTTGTATCAGCGCCAGTGGTGCAAGAAGTATTCAGATGCTTAACCTGAGGAAAAGATACCAATACATTATTGTCAAAATACTTTTGTGACTTAAGAGTGAGTCCACTAGTTTAATTTTGGAAATGTATTTTGTTAAAAGTAGCTGTTTAATCAATCTAGTGGAGTAAAAGTACATGATATCTATACAGTAGCATTAAATGGAAATACTCAAGTAAATTACAAGTACCTCAGAATTGTACTTTAGTACAGTTCTTGAGTAAATGTACTTAGTCACATCCCACCTCTGATTAGGGCTCATTTTAAATACAGTATATAAGTAAGCTTCCTTTATTCTAGTTGGGCTTCAAAATATGAAACTGTGTTAAAAATATTAGACCTCTGGGATAATGTAGTTCAGAAAAACTGAGACTGTTTTAAAGATTATCTGGCTTCTCTGTCACTATCTTGACCAAGTTGGGTCTTGGTATGGAGGTTTTAAAAAAATACCTAAATACAAAATCCATTGAAAACCTTTTTATAATAAAAGTTTCAAAAATTGGTTCGTTACAGACAGCATTACGGCTTTACCTAAAATGTCTAACGCTCTTTCACAACAATAAGATGTGCAAAAAATTGAGGATTGGTTAATAAGCAATGTAGTTAAGATATCCATTATTTACCCATTGACTGAGCAACCAGAAGCTAACTTAAGGGTTGTATAGTTGAATGGGTAAAAGTCCTACTTTATTTAAATATCAAAGCCATTCATCACATGATCTTTGACTCAGACACTGTTATTTATGACATTGTCTTCCTGGGGGGTATACTACGAAGCAGGATTTTCGCTTAGCCGGCTAAATTCAGGGAAAACTCCGGCTTTCCGGTCCTACGAAGCTGGTTCTCTTTTTAGCAGGCTAGATCTCCATGGTAACTTATGCTTAGCGGCTAACCTGGTCGGGACCAGGTTAGGTTGCAGGCTAAGAGCTCAACTCAGTGAAAGCACTGCCTGCTGGCCAATCAGAGCTCAGTGTGCGGAGTTTAAAGCGATCAAGTCATATTACAGGAGAAAGGAAATACAGAAATATTGCCGTGCAGGAAAGACGGCCGGCAAAAATCACCGACTGTGTGAACGTGAACATTAATAGAATATCACCTCCCATCTTCAGAGCAATCTGACTATTATAACATTAGCGTTAAGAAAGCTTACTTAAATATCTGCCACAACATAAGTAACCGGATCAGAGTAACATTAAGTAGCCTACAGTCCGCAGCATATCATTTCATAATGTATCATATTTTCTTATCTGAGTCAGCTGAGCCGTATCTGGCCGTGCAACACTCACATTGTCACATACTGTATGCAGAAGTATTATTTTAAGCAACACATTAAGTTGACGAAACACTCGAGACAAATGTAATTAAAGTCAAATCGTGTTTTAGACGGGGCAGTGATATCATAAACCTGTTAATGTACGCATTCAAACACTTTTTCTTTTGCCAGCTGTATTCACCTTGCAGGTGCAACTATGTGGCTTTTATCCTGGATAAAGTGTTTAAGTCATGGATGTTTAAAGTTTAACTTCTTCATTTTTGACTAGTATTACAGTTCACTTTTCATTCAGGAAGTATGACGCTGCGCTGTCAGTACGCTTCTCCATGTTTGTGATTGGTCGAATGCTCCAGATACCACCCCTTTCATGTGAACGCGCACCTAACTAGATAGGACACGGCTGGCTTGAGCGATCCACTTGATAACCCGCGTCGTAGTACAGTTTAGCGAGAGCGCGTATGTTTTGGATTAGGCCAACCGGCTAACTCAAACATATCCAGGTTAGGTTGAACCAGCTTCGTAGTATAGGCCCCTGGTCCACAAGTCTAACAACAAACATTTTTTCCTGTTGTTTTGCAGACACCATGGTGGAGCGAGTCCCTGAGTCCATCAACTTTCCCTCTGAGGAGGAGAAGATCATGACGTTCTGGAAAGATAAGGACTGCTTCCAGGAATGCCTCAAACAGTCCAAGAACCGGCCAAAGTAAATCCAACTGTTTCTTCTTTATATTTGTTTTTTATACGAAAAATGTATCTCTACAACTTGTTGTTTAAGTGTGAGATGAGTTGATCATATTTGTTAAAAATGTATTTGAATGAGAAATGATTATGAACATTTATTCAGTGGTTCAGTACAGTCACACCTTTCTACATCTGTCAATTCTGGCAGTGGTTAGGAATTTTACAAGGGATTATTAGTCAAGCTATTCTGCTGCCAAGTAAAGAAGTGGCTTCTCCTGACCAACCGGTTACCATTTAATACGTTCAGAATTTGATCATCATGACTATCAGTACTTGTTAGTAATATACGGTATAGAAAACAGGTTCATAAAACTGGCGTCCCATATTCTCATGTACCCACTTGCTGATTTGTTCAACCTGTCTTTGTCCACCTGTGAGTTGCCGACTATTTGGAAATGTGCACGCATCATTCCACTGCATAAAGGTGGTGATTTACTTGATACAAATAATTATAGACCAATCTCTATAATCTGCTCTATTTCCAAAGTTTTGGAGAAAATTATTTATAATCAACTGTCACATTATCTCAATACTTATAATATTTTATCTCCGGTTCAATCTGGTTTCAGGCCTAATCACTCCACAACAACTGCCCTACTTACATTTACGAATGACTTGTACTCTGCTGCAGATGATGGTGAACTCACAGGTGCCCTTTTTATTGACTTGACAAAAGCCTTTGATTTCGTTGATCGATATCTGCTCTTGGATAAACTTCACGGCATTGGCCTTTCTAATAATACAGTGTTATGGTTTAACTCGTACCTTCACAGTAGAAAGCAATGTGTGGTTGTTAATGGAAAACAGTCTGACCTGTTGATCCAACAAAAGGGTGTACCCCAAGGATCAACTCTGGGCCCACTTCTGTTGTCTATTTACATAAATGATTTATCTTCTTGTCTCATTAATTGTTGTACTCACCTTTATGCTGATGACACTGTCATATATACATCCAAATCAGATTTTTCACAAATTCAGATCTCTCTTCAATCGGATTTTAATATCTTACAGGACTGGCTATCACACAATAAACTACTGCTTAACAAAACAAAATCTTATACCATGGTCTTTGGTACCAGGCAGAAGCTCAAATCCAAACCTAATGTAGTAATAACATGTAAGGATGGCACTTCTCTGCATAAAGTTGATAGCTTTAAATATCTTGGTGTATGGCTAGACTCTGAACTTTCATTTAAACTACATATAAAGCATGTAATACAAAAAGTCAATTGCGCAATCAGTGTTTTACACCGCTCTCGCAATTGTTTTACGCTCAGTGTCCGAAAGAGAATTGCTTCTCAACTTATTCTTCCGATTATGGACTATTGTGATGTTGTCTACCAAAATGCACATAAATCAGATCTTGCTCCACTCAACATAGCCTACAACAGACTATGCAGATTTGTTCTTGGTTGTCCTTTTCGTACACATCACTGCACAATGTATAACCAACTTAAATGGCCTTCTTTAAATGTAAGAAGACACACGCATTGGCTTCAGCTGATATTTAAATGCATTTATCTTAACTATCCCCCTTATTTAAAGCAGTATTTTGTACCCTACTCACCAAATCATGAAGTTAGACATTCTGTTCAGATTTATTTCTCTGTCCCCTCTGCAAAACAATTGATTGGCAGAAGAGCGTTCATGTTCAAAGCCCCAACTGACTGGAATACTTTACCTGCTGCTATTAGATCTCTTGCATCATTGGGTATGTTTAAACATGCATTATCATCTCACTTTCAACTGGTCTGTACTTGTTATTAATGAAACTGATATTGATGAAACTGATTTGCTTGACTGTCAAATTGTAATGATTGTATGCATTGCTTGAATTTTACTTAACAGACTGTATGTGGTTTGTCTTGTGTGTCATGTTTTGCATTTTGTCTTTTTGTTTATGTCTGTAAGTTGTTGCTATTGTCGGGACCCCCTTGAAAACGAGATGGTGCATCTCAAGGGGTTTATCCCAATCAATAAACATATCTATATATATATACACTACATGTACTTAGAAACAATGGCCCATTGCATTTAGTTTTATTTGTGAAAATGTATTTATTTTCACAAGTTTCAAAACAATACAGTTTTTTATTATCTATTATGTTTCCTTTCAAGCCATCAACATATTAAATGTGTTGATGACATTTGATCATTTTCAAAAAATTGCCGTGAATAATCAAACCCTCCCCAACACTACAATGATTTAACACGGTATTTTCTTAATAACACTTCTAAATCACCTGCTCTGAAATGAACACAGAATCAAACCACTGATGTGACCGTGTCAATAAAAGGGAACAGCATGACCTTTTTAAACATGGCAAACACAAACAGCTCTTCTTCATTTTTCTTGCTGCAAGCTAAAAACAGAGATGGCAGTGAATGTGATTTTCTATACAAAGAAACCATGAATAGACTTCATAACTTGACTGAAAAGGTTTACAGTCATCATCGTCATATTGCCTTAACCTCTCACATTCACTTTCAAGCTTTTTATTCAAATAAGTCTACATCCCATTTCCCGACCAGGTACACCTTCTACGATGGCCCTCCCTTTGCCACGGGTCTCCCTCACTACGGACACATCCTGGCCGGCACCATCAAGGACGTCGTTACTCGCTTCGCCCACCAGAGCGGCTTCCATGTGGACCGGCGCTTCGGCTGGGACTGTCACGGCCTGCCTGTGGTAAGAATCTGTCTCTCTGAATACTGTTCAAATCACTTTTTACTGAAAGTTTGGCGTGGATTATCAGATGTATTCTTGGGTTTCTGTTTTTCTCATTCTCCTTTCTTTCTTTGTAGGAGTATGAGATTGACAAGTCTTTGGGCATCAAGGGGCCTGACGATGTGGCCAAGATGGGCATCGCTGAGTACAACAAGCAGTGCAGAGGCATTGTCATGAGATACTCCAACGAGTGGGAGGTGAGCATTCAGGAAGGAACAATGTGTGAACATGTTTTTTTATTTGAATGTGTCAATCAAATAGCTTACTAGAAGTGTGAAACTTTTAGAGTCTCACAATTGTAAATCAATTTAGATTCAAAACTGATTCTTGGATTCAGTTAAAAGATGTGATCATTTCAGAAACTGCTCAAGACAGCTGTGTTCCAATGAAGGCAGTGTGGGAAATGATGGCTTTGAAGCAGCTTCGATGAGCATTAAGAAGATAATAAAGTTATAATATTTGAAAAAGTGATATCAACAATATCAAGTTGTATTAATCAAGAAAAACCTAAGACAAGGTTATAATTTATTCATTCTAAACTTGCAAACACCTTTAAATTCTCAGTGACTTAAGGTATAACAAGGTCATCTTTTTATATATTTTTAAGAAACTTGCCAATTTTAAAGATAAATTGTAAACAAATAAAACGGTAAAACTGTTTGTGTTTGGGATTTTTCAACAAATCACACAATAATGCTCAACATTACTTTGAAATGGGTTTTGGGGATTTAAGTCCATCAGTAGCAATATCAATTGAAGAAAGAAAAAGTTACGAAAATAAAGATATTCTTGGATGTTGTGAGTGAAACAAAAAAAGAGCAATTTTTGTTGTTTTTAATTGCTTTTCATATCCCTTACCCATTCAACCAATGCTTATTATTTTCCTTTCCAGACTGCAGTGAAGCGAATGGGAAGGTGGATTGACTTTGACAACGACTACAAGACTCTCTACCCATGGTTCATGGAGACCGTCTGGTAAGGATTTAGCATTTTACATGTACAAGTGTGCGCCTGAAGACACATCATTTATATTGTACTTGTATACAAGGAATTCAATTAAAGCAATATGTGATCTCTAAGAAACACAAAATCATTTTCATCTGAGATTTCTTTAAATTTAAAGTATTCATTACGGCAGCTTTAACTTTGTTATCCAAAAGTAAATATGGGTTCCAGCCATGTTTTAAACAGTGAGGTCACATGAGTTCAGAGATGTTAATGAAAATCACCATCCTCTTGCAATCCACACTTCATGTCTCCAGTCTGTCCTCTTGTCTCTCCTTCCTGTCTAAATGTTTAATGTGTCTTTTAATCATTGAACAGGTGGGTGTTCAAACAGCTGTACGACAAGGGTATGGTTTACCGAGGAGTCAAAGTCATGCCTTTCTCCACTGCCTGCAACACCCCCCTGTCCAACTTCGAGTCCCACCAGAACTACAAGGTTTGCACACATCCCACCTAGAGTGACAAAGTGCAGCACCACTAACACAATTTACTGTCTGGATGTAAATGCTGAATTGACTTCATCTCTGTTTTTATTTTTGTCTCCAGGACGTTCAGGACCCGTCGGTGATCGTCAACTTCCCGTTGGTGGGGGATGAGGATGTGTCTTTGATCGCCTGGACGACCACACCCTGGACCCTGCCCAGCAACCTGGCCCTCTGTGTCAACCCGGAGTTCTTCTACGTCAAGGTCAAAGGTGAGAGACCAAGACTGACGAGTGCTGTGTCAGTGTGAGCTGCTGCTGCTGAGCTTTACACTGTGCTGGTTATGGATGACATTTGCATCATTAGATGTCAATCAAACTCGGACTTTACAATGCTTATCCCAATTAACTTAAGCTTAGGGACAGCATAAAGTTTTACTAACAGTTACTTGCAACTTGTTTTTTTGTTTCTTGTTCTTACACGTTCCTGTAGCTGTTTCCCCACAATCCACTATAAGTATACATTTTTGTAAGACTTTATGATTTTGTACATTTGTCCGTCTCTACGTCCTTATACCCTTTTGGGAAAGCATTGAGGGTAATATTCTTCAAACTTGGCACAATCATCCACTACAAATCAAGGATGAACCGATTTGATTTTGGCAAGGTCAAAGTTTCCTTACAAAACATATTTTTGACCATTACTCAATAATTAATATGCTAATTAAGATACATATTTAAGACAAAATTCAATTTCAATTCAAGTTTATTTATATAGCCCAAAATCACAACTGAAGTGAAGACATTTGCAAACTGCAAATGTAGCGGTTGTCCGAGGCATACAACCGTTTTTCTGTTTTAAGTTTGCATATTGAATGTTTTAAGTATATATTTATTGTGTCACTTAACTACTGTGAACACGCTTTATACCTACAATTACTTATCCTGTGTAGGATCAAATTAGGCCACAGGTTAGGTTTGAAAATCAGTGATTGTTCCCCTGAGCAAACACAAAGGTCCCCTGATGTGCTGATTGGGACTGATTGCTGCTCTGTGGAGCTTGTGTGTTTACGTTTGAGAACACGTTTTTGTACAAACCTGTTCCCAGTGTTATCCTGTAGTCAGGATACTTTCAGATTATTGCAAGAATCGACAATAATTTGTTGCTGTTGTCTGTACTTTCATGCCATTATAGGGAAACAGCATAACTATTACACATGCTCACACATCCTGCCACAAACATGTTTGTGTTGTGGATTACTAGAGTTACCAGGATGAATCGTTTTGTTTAATGATTCTGCTTGAATTGCCTAGGGCAAACGTAAACCCTCGTGAGTGAGTGTTCTGGACTAAAGTATTGGCTGAAGGGCGATTTTAATCAGAAAGAACAAACAAAAACAAATTAACTGCACATTTGCACCACGAGGAAAGGATTTTTAACACAATGTGTTGGCAGAGCTTCCCAGCCTTTGGCTTAGTGCTAGCTGATGAAATAAAACACTTTTGTTGTTGTATGATCAGGGACTCTGTCACTGGTTCTTTGTGTTATTGTTAAACTAAGAAGCACTTCACATTCAGCATCATGCTGAAGCATAACAGGTCCATGGTTAAATCACCTTGTCGGATTCACACAAAAGACAATTACATTTAGTTACTTGCTTACACGCATAAAGGATGCATCAGTGTTTTTGTAATTATAAGTAATGACTTCTTATAGAACTATTCTTATATAATTTTCAAATCATAAATCTATCGATCATAAATCTATCGATTAGATTTCTGATTATAAAAGTAGGGTAGACATGAGGATATTATCCGGCTGAACAAAACGTGATCCGTCTCTCAAATGTGTGTCAACCACAGACCTTATTTCGAGCTATTTTCCAAAATCCTATGGAGAAATTGCATTGCTTTTTTGTTGAAGGAACCCATGCGCAGCTTACTTCCGGGTTTTAGGACGCATCACTGTGGCACTCTATAGGCGCGATCCGAAATCAGTGTTTAATCTGTGATGGAAATCTTGCCTGAAACCTGCAAAATGTCTTAAAAACACACAAAATAAATTCAACATCCTTTTAATACTAGAAGAAAATAAAAGTATTCTATCATTGAAATCTACGGTTTTATTCATGTAAATGCACGTCCTCTACATTAGTGTGTGCTACAGACCTGAGAAAATGGGGATGAACCACAAATCGGGTCACGTTAGAATCTGTTGTCCTTGTTGAAATATATAAATAAATGACTCCAGAGAGGTGGCTCCTGTTTTTGTGTCGTGCTCCTGCTGTAGTCTTGAACTGGTGGGTTTTTAGAAAGGGTGACCAAGATTCATCCCAGCATGCAGCAGCCTCTGTGGGCCTGCAGGGGGCACTGTTGAAGCACACACTGTCGTCTCACTGCACCGCCTGTGCTGTGCTGCATGAGAGACCGCCCCAGAATACCAATGAAGTGTTTTTTCAGCTCAGCCTCTCTCTTGTTATCTCCCCTCCTCTCTCTCCCTCCATCTCCATCTAATTATTTCCCTCTCATTTTCTTATCGCTCTCTTTGCATCCACATCCACCTGTTTTTTGTCCTTGGTTGTTCTTATTTTCTGTCCTTTTCTCCTGTCTATCTCTTCCCCTCACTGCCTTTGTCGCTGTTTGAGTTGAGGGCTGTCAGCAGGTCTGAGCTGTGCAGTCATTTGTCACACCACTGAGGGGAAGAAACATCCTTTATTGATGCTGCCCCCTCCTCTCTTGTAATGTGTCTCCCTGTCTCAGGCCCTTTGGTGTTCGCCCTCTTCACAACAGTTGTCCCTGTTCCCAACTTTTCCTCTCTTTTTTCTCCTAAAATCCCCATTTGGCCAGTTTTTTCCGTAGCGTTCAGTTTCCCAAAATGTCAGACCGTTACCCTACAGGAGGTGGCAACTTTTCTATAAGCCCACATGCTGGGTGACATGAGAGGGTCTTTACCTGACCTTGACTTTACGTCTCCCTGTATTATTATGAAGCAGGACTTGACCTTGAGCAGATGTGCATGTAGCGCGGCTATTAGATACCTGGATTTGAACCAGGTAGGATGAGCTGTTGTTTATCAAACATGAAATTCAGCTCAATAAACATAAATCATTCTGCAGGGGCTATTTACGTGGCAGACTTTGAAAAATGGCCCGCACCTCCTTCACAAAAAAAAATCAATCAATATTTATTTTTCTCACCTCATTACACATCTGTGAGGTTCGAAAGAAAAGAAGGAAAAAGAAAAAACACAGACACAGTTTCTGCTCCATGAAACACTAAATATACAAAGGCCAATGCAGCAAAAATAAATAAAACACTCAAGAAATATAACAGTTTGCATTAAAAAAGACAATGAATCTGCTCAAAATAATGTAAACATAAGTTGATACCAAGAATAATCCAGTGATGCTCTATTTTTTGCAGATTTATATTTGACGACACCTTTTAATGTATTTTTAAAAGCAGTGAAACTAAAGATTTTCATTCTCGTCGCGTCAGCGCATTTGAATGTGTCTTCAATTGCCTCCATGTTACAGACGCTAGGGTTTCTTTTAGGAAGCTGTGGGATAATTCTGTCCCCTTAACGCAGGCAGGCAGCAAAGTGTGAAAACTCAGTTCTTTTTCTCCTCAGATAACGCCACAGAGAAGACCTACATTTTGATGGAAGCCAGGCTGGGAGCTCTGTTTAAGTCGGAGAGCGAGTACACTATCCTGGACAAGTAAGCTCACAAAACCTATAGCAAAAAACCCCCGTAAAGAATGAATACCGTAAATACTTTTAATTTTAGGTCTGTGTGAAATGTGACAAATCGTTTGATATATTGCCATGACACATTTATGCTCCCCTCACTTTTTATCCAGTTCAATCAGGTTAAATTAAAATGTGATTTATGAGCAAATACCTTCTTAACTGATGACACTACCATCACCCATTGGTTGTGCTTGTGGGGGCTACTTTGCCAATGTTACCACATTAAAAGTTTAAACTAATACATGTTAAACAATATACCTGCTGACGTCGCCATGCTAGCATGATTTATACATGAACCTTTAAGTTTGATGTTATTTAGGTTTATTACCCTCAAAACATGCAGATGAGTTGTCAGTACATTTCTTAATCTCAAGTAGTATCTGCAGACTTCCTTTCATTCTGCAACAGCCTCCTCCAGAGACATTTTGAACAGCTGAACAGTCAGAGGACACTGTTTACGAGGGATTGAATCGTGATTAGATCAAATAAAGTGTGAATGACAGATAATGAAACAATGATATGTTTTGTTGATGTGATCAGATTCCAAGGCAAGACGCTGAAAGGGAAAAAATACAAGCCTCTTTTCCCGTACTTTGCCAAGGTTAGTAGTTTGTGTTTTTGTTCCTGCCTGCTGCATGTGATATATATTGTTTGCCACAATATGAAGACAGACCTATGTCTCACTTTAATTACCTGTCTGACCACAAATTGGCATCTCAGTTTACTCTCTCTTCATCTGTCTTTTAATCTTTCTTTCTCTCACTATCTGGCTCTATTTCTTCCTCACCACTCGTCGGCTGTTCGTCTGATTCTCCTCTTCCTTGTTCCTCTTCAGTGCGGAGAGCAAGGAGCGTTTCAGGTGGTGTTGGATAACTACGTCAAGGAGGAAGAGGGCACAGGAGTGGTCCACCAGGCACCTTACTTTGGAGCTGTGAGTGTCCTCTTTTTTGTTCTCCCACACTGTGCATGTATTTATTTATTTAGATCAAGAGATGGATCTGTTGGTTTATAAGATATCACAAATAAACAAAATTCACCATAGACATTCTCTATCTATGTGAACAAAAAGGCCCAGATATTGAAGATATTGAAGTTATAATGATTTGAAACAGAAATAATATGTTTGAGGCACATACTAGCAAATACTTAAGATTTTGACTTGATACATGACTCAATAGTAGTAAGAATGCAGTTTATTGGCTGATAGTTTCAGTACCACTACTGCAGTTTAACAAAATTAGCATTTTCTAACAAGTGTTTTTGACAACAAGTTTTCCAGACCAGTCAAATAATAATATAAAATGGATGTAATCTAACAGTTTCGTTTTTAGCTGCACTAGAATAATTGGTTAACAAGATGAGTGCTGTTTTTGAAGAAGGCAATAAGTGAAGGAACAGACAAACCAGTGACACATTTTCCTTTCAAACAAGTGTTTGGTGTTCTGTCTTATTTATGACAATGTGAAGAGTGGTTCAAGTGGATTTAGAAATTGTCAGATGAATATTTGAGTGACAGTCACTGGTTAAAGCAGTCAACCTCGGGGAAACACTGCAGCCTTTGCTGTTGATCCTGCTCCCCTGTCACTGTCATGAGATCCACCTGACTCCGGTGAGCCTCACCCACCTCCTTTTTATATACTATGTACTTCACTTCGTTGAGTGATTTGGAATGAAATTGAGAAACACTTCTGAAACGTTGCTACTAGAAGGCTTGTTAATCCAGGTTTGCAGATGCTTATATGGAGCACACTCTGGAGGAAAACAAGGCCATCTTCTGTCAAGTGTAACTCTGTGGATGGCTTCCTCGGCATCTTATGCTCATAAAAACGCACCCAGTCCTGTTTTGTCTTTCATGTCCCTCTATGAGCACATGCAGTCATTGATATCTATCATTTTAAAAGAGGACTAAACTTAACCAGAAACTACATTGGTGCTTGAAATGTATGTGAAACAATAGGATTTTTATTAATGATTGAAACAATTGGTTGTTCAAAGCTTAAGCTCAAGGCAAACATATTTCATTAATTAGGATGATCAGGACCCACTGGTCTTGAATTCTATATCTGTGTTTTTTTTACCTTCCTTCTAGTTTACTTTAACTTTTGTTATGTTTATTTGTGAACTAACCCAGTTACATTTATGTGGATGCTTAAGATAGTTTTATGGGCTATTTGTATTGAACCCTACATCATGTATTTGTACAGTGTAGTCCGGTTTATGAGTCTTGGAATATTTCACATTTACCATACATTTGAAACATAAAGTGGTGTTTATTTATCATTTTTTTAACTCAACTATCAAAATACGGTAAATAGCTGAATTGCTTTTGTATTTTAAGAGTTTCGACATTTTTGCCATGACCAGGTGGCAGTTGCTCAGCTCGTACAGCCTGCCTCATATACTAATATTACACAAACTGTGAAAAGTCTAAGCTTCACAGCGCTGTGCTGAGTCCAAAAACCGTCCCACACAATCCCAATACAAAAGCTCACTGTCTTGTTTTCCTACGACCCACACAACCCCTAGCCGTATGTGCACTACAGGTGCTCTGAGCAAAAAGATATAGTCTGCAGCACATGAAAAATCCATGTCTCTTACACCTTCAATGTAGCCGAAAGAGAAATGATGACCGGAGGGATGTAAATAAGTCTGACTGTAACAGACTTTCCTTGCTTAAAGAAGGGGTAATAACCAGGTAATGGAAACCCTGGTTACAGTGCTATCAGAGGTATTGGGTTATTTCTAATAGGTGAGATGCCCTTGCCAAAGGCAGATTGAGGCCCCTGCGGCTGTAGCCAAACGCTCAGTCTCTCTGTCTTAGCTTCCTCTTCTGCACTCTGCTTATTTAACTGCAGCTCAGTCCCTATGGGGACGTAAAGCAGCCCTTCACATCAACATCACACATATACATTAGCATTTAAATGTTAGAATTTGTTCTATTTGGTAACAGTTTTGTTATCCAGTGATCACATTCAAGTGGATTGGTTGTTGAACATTTGAAACACGCATACATTTGCTCTGAAGATATACAGTGAGGAGAAATGCGCTGCCAAAACACATTTTTCAAGTTTTATGTTGTTATGACTGGATGTGAAATGACCCTGTGGAACATCCATCTTGGATCTTGACAGGGTGTTTGAATACAAAATACATTTACAGCTGGACAGGACTCCGACCTTTCATGCATAGCTGTCACATGCCAGTGATGCTTCTTCCAACACGGCAAAGTATGTAGCTCAACAAGGCGTATGATATGAGGTCATAACATATCTCTGAGCGAGTGAAACAAAACCTTACCTTGGAATACAGTGTCACTGTTTATAGATGATGCAACTTAATTACAATCACAATTTCAAGATGTAGTAATAGGCTGCAGTCTTTTTTTGTTTTTATAATAAGGGCCTCAATTTACACTTTTCATAATTGCTGAAGCTGAAGGATTTACTAATCCATTAACAGTTTTTTTTTATATAAAAAAACACTTTGAGTGTAATTACATCAAACATACCTAGTTCATACTCTCATCTTACTGCTCCACGGTTTAAAGTGTGTTATTTAACAGCAACCTTACTTTGAACGGCCACATCAAATCATCAAATCGAGTGTTTGGCGATGTTTTTTTCAACCTTGGAAAATGTGTAAAAATGAAGTAGCTTCTGTCTTATAGAATTACTTAATCGAAAAAAAAATATTTATTATATATTAATGCATTTTTATATGCATTACTGATGAATGGGAAGTAGAAATGCTTTCAACCACTAAACCCTTTATCTGTGTATTTTTCTCTCTAGGATGATTTCAGGGTGTGCACTGAATACAAGATCATCGCGAGGGACCAGGCTCCGATCTGCCCTGTGGACGCCTCGGGCTGCTTCACTTCAGAGGTCACTGACTTCGTGGGACAGTATGTCAAAGTGAGTGACACATCAGACATTTACATGTAGATTAGGCAAGCAGAAATTTCCGCCTTCAACCACTGATAAAAGCCGCTGTGGGGATAAAACCCGCAACAATATTGATAGCTGGTGTAATTCGGCATTTCATTTACCGCTTGCTGGGCATCCAATCTCCTATTTTACTCCATTTCCTCTGTGGATATCTGGAAAATACATCTTTCTATAATTATGTTTTCCTCTTTCGTTCTGGTGTACTAAAACAAGCCCTTTCTTCACGGCTTTTTCTAAAATAGTTAGTTTGACATGATAAGACACTGAAATAATTATGTTTGTAATGTAATTGTAAATGATTCTTTATGAGCATGACTTGTTCATTGAGGTGGAGAGAGGTAAGGGAATTATCGTCATTGTCACACAGTTGTGTACAAAACCTGCTGCCAAAGCACATTCATTGTTTACCAGAGCACTGGGTTCCCTCCCTGTCACACCCAACTTAATTACCATCCTAAGTGAATAGTAAATGAAAAATAGCAGTTATACATGATGTGATCACTATTTCACATCCTGGCGAAGAAGGCCAGGGAGTGGACTCCACCCGCCTGGACACTAACAGTACAGCGTTAGCTAATAAAGGGTAAGCAGCCACAGTCTTCTGAGAGTCTGTCATTATCCACTTTTGAAATATGTTAAAACAGAGCGTGAATTTCATTGCGGTCTGAGACATTCTTTATTGCCGCATAAAACCCGGAGGTGATCTGAGGGAGACACAGTCGGGACTTGAGCCACGCAAAGAGAAGCAGAGAGAGCAGCTGTTCTTCTGTTATTACTGAAAAACAAACCCAGTATTTTGCACAACATGAGAGCTGCTTCTTACAGCCAGAAGAGCCTACAGGTCAGAGGCTCCAGCAGCAAAGTAAGGGTCCAGAGCCCGTCACCTTCCCGGTGCCGTGGATCCTCCTATGACAGCCGCGGACGCGCCGGTAATCGCAGCACTGCCGTTGAGTTGGGCACAGAGATACACGAGCAACATGCCAACGAGAAAGAGGAAATGCAGGAACTCAATGTCAAGTTTGCGGGATACATCGGGAAGGTCCAGGCGCTAGAGCAGAGAAATGGTGCTCTTCAAGCCGAGTTAGCCGCACTGCAGAGCCGCTACAAGGGAGGCCATACAGGCATCGGAGGGGAATACGAGCTCAAGTTTAAAGAGGTGCGTGACCTGATCGAGGCCCTGACTAATGAGAAGGGAGCGGCTGATATTGAACGAGGCTACATTGAGGAAGAGGTTGAAGTATGGAGACTAAAGCTGGAGGAAGAGCTAGCACTCAAGGAAGAGGCAGAGATGATCCTGAGGGAGTTCCGCCAGGATGTTGACGGCGCCACACTACAGAAGGCTGAGCTGGAGAAGCGCATAGAGCAATTGGTGGCCGAGATAGAGTTCCTCAAGAAGCTGCACGATGAAGAGGTGGCTGACCTCATGAAGCAGATTGAGGACTCAAAGATTACCGCAGAGCTGGATGGCGACCGGCCCGACCTGGCTGCTTATCTGCGCAACATGCGTGCAGAGATAGAATCGGTCGCTGCCCGAAACGTCCAGGAAGCTGAGAAGTGGTACAAGGGCAAGTTTAACACCCTCAAGGAGCACGCTGGCAAACACGAGGAACACACGAAGACCATGAAAGACGAGATAACGACCTTCCACAACCAAGTGACAGAGCTGCAGAACCAGATTGATGGGCTGAAGGCTCGTAACTCAGCCATGGAGCAGCAGCTGGAGGATATGGAGATGTCCCACATGGATAAGGCGGAGACCCTCGAGGGTGTCATTGCTCAGTTGGAGACCCAGCTCTGCGAAACCAAACTCGAGATGACCAAGTATCTCCATGACTACCAGGAACTGCTGCACATTAAGCTCAAGCTGGATGTAGAGATCGCCACCTACAGGAAGCTGCTGGAAGGAGAGGAAACCAGGCTTGGAATTGCCAAAGATGTCTAAATATTCGTGACGAGAGCAAGTCAAAAGCAGCAACAGCGAAGACCAGCAGAGCATTGTGGAGAGGAGCAATCAGCTCATACTTGTTAAAAATATTCTTCTCCATCCTTCCCTTCTTCTCTAACCTTGCCCAACTCCAAGATAACTCCAAGATAACTCCAAGAACTGGGTGTCATTTGAAATGTCTAACTACAAGTGCCAATTCGACACCTCGATCCAACAGACGAGGACTATGATTCATATTTTAAAATTGGCAAGATGTTTTTCAAAGAACGGAGAGAAGAAGTATCACTCCTCTACCGAGGTGTTGGCTTGCAGACATACATTTAAAAAGACTGAATGTGGCTTTTTCAAAATGTTGAATTGAATCAGTAAGTGTGTGATCATAGTCTGCTTGCCTACAAGTGCCTCCCAGTCCTTCGTTATTTAAATGTTTACATCATTTTTTTAAAACAACTCTCTTGTCCTTCTTCTTTACTAACAATCTCTACCTTGTCAACCATGTTCCCGTTTCATGGCCCTTCTTAGTTATTCCTTTTTCCTAAAACACACTGGTTGAATTTCTGTCAAATCAACCCTACTGTAATACGTCCTTCACCTCCTTTCTAACATCTTTTAGCCACCAGTGCTTCTCTTGATCCAACTTAATGATCCTACCTCCTTTACAAAAAACACTCTTGTCCTGCTGTGACGCACCACATCTCAACCCATTTAAAGCAGACCTGATTACATCAGGGTTTTGCCTGCTCTTAACTCCACATCCTGATTATTCCAACTGTTTAGACAAACAATTATTGACCATTTAAACTAATTCTGACCAACCGTTGCCTAATAAAGATTGAAGTGAGTGCATACCAAATATTGCATTGGCCTTATTTATTTCTCTTGTGAGTTACCTGTTGTACCCTTTATGATGAATCTCTTCTTACTGGTCTACTCCTTCTCTTGCTTTATTTCCAGTCAACTCTCTATCCTTTTCCTCAGTGTATCCTACTTTATTTTAACCCAAAAAACACTCCATCTACTAAAAAGCCTTGTTTTACTGAGTCAGGCTCAATTAATTACAATTATTTTAGTTATTTAGTTTATTTAGTCGTTAGCTTTATCCCCCAAATAAGAAATAATTCGCTAAGGAATAAAATGGCTGTGTGAATCTAGCCTTAGGTTGCACGCTGGGTCTGCTACTTTAACTGGGTAGGTTCAAGAGAAGCAGAAACTATGCTGTGTAATTATATAGTTTGTCACAAAAAGAGTCACACATATGTGTGAATAGTCTAGTAAATATATCGAGTAACCCTTGTTTAATCTCAATTGGCCAGGTGGTGAAATGTTCTCATTTGGTTGTAGGCAAAGGTCCAACGAATCTCCACATCACAGGTGTTCTTTCATGTTTTAATGAGCCTGGGTCAGGGCATAACAACATTTACTCCTGGCTGAGAAACTTTAAAAGCCCTCGATCTACAAAGAAGTCACGACCAACGTTCTCCATACCTCTCGTGAAAAGTCATATTTATGAGCTTCCTGTGAATGGTACTGGGAGCTTCGTTAGAGGGGGATGAAAAGTGTGTTATAAGGCACAGGGCTGATTGCGTATTAGATTGTTTGTCATAAACAATGAGCTGGATGACAAAATGTCTCCCTACATCTCAGATGGTATATATCAGACCTGAATGAGCAGACTGACCTTTGCTGCAAATTCACCTTCTTTATTTCGTAAAGGGAAGTATAAAGCCACAGGGCTTTTAAGGATCCTGAGCTTTCCTTCCTGAAGGTAAAAATCTAAACATTCACGCTAGTAATAGAAAGGGGGTCAAATGTTTTCTCCTTAACTCTAACTTTGTTTAGTGAAACAAACTGCCTGTGATTCTCTGTAGGGCAAGAAGTAAATAATACTTTTTTTACCAATTGGCCAATTAGTAACAAACATTTTGTTATAGGTTGCTCTTGAGCAGGGAAACCACTGAACAAAAATAATAATGCACATTTTTTTTTTTATAACTAGGAATATGTACACCTGTAGTTGTGTTGAATTCACAATCTCAGAATCTAACAATAATATATATTTAGTAATTTTTCAAGACAAATATTGAATGTTCTTAATTAAGCACTGAAATGCAAAAAAAAAAATATATATATTAGGGCTGTCAATCGATACAAATATTTAATCACGATTGATCGCATGATGTCCATAGTTAATAGAATCACGATTAATTTGCGATTCATCACACATTTTTGATCTGTTCTAAATGTACCTTAGAGGAATATTTTTCAAGTTTTTAATACTCTTATCAACATATGAGTGGACAAATATGCTTTCTGCAAATATTTGCTTATTATCATTTGAACAATGACAAATATTCTCCTGAATATTCTCAACACAACAACCTGGAACCTCTCTCTCTCTTAAACTCTCGCCCAACCCTGTGTACTTCTTTGCACTGAGCCAGTTGCTCAAACAGACAAGCCTGTTTACAGTTGTCGGCGAAATGCCGCTCCTTTGTCTTCATCTTCAGTCAAAGCATGAGACTGAAGTTCCCACTGTGGGTCAAAAATAATGCTCTGTGATGGGCAGTCGACACGTTGGATGCGATCCGAATGATCTAACGCAGCCCCTCGTCCTCCTCAATGTTAAGCTGTAGCCACCCATTTAGCTATCGCTGTTGTTGTCCAGGCGTCTCCCCGGCAAACTTTCAAGCGTGGTCTGCCGCAAGCGAGCGGCAGGAGCGGGGCTGTCGGCATCAGCTGGGTGCTTGGCTTGCTGTTTAAAACACATTTTTTTGTATCCATATCTCTCGCTAGAATCTCCCACCACCCAAATAACAACAACAACGTCAAGCCTTTGGGCTCTAAAACTACGGGGCGGGCCGAGGACAAATACAGATGCGTTATTAATGCGTTAACTTGACAGCCCTAATAATAAATAATAATTCCTTACATTTATTATAGCGCTCTTCTAGATGCTCAAAGCGCTTTACAAATACACATTACACACATGTAACGGTCATGTATTGTGGACAATACCCACAGAAGCAAATTCAGGTGAAGTGTCTTGCCCAAGGCTTTACAGACGCAGCGGAAGCGGGTTTCGAACTGGTGTTCCCCAACATCACCTTGATCTGATGATCAACGCACAGCCCACTGCGCCACTCCGCCCATCTTCACACCTCAAAGTCATCAAGGCGCTTTACAAGTACACATTACACACATATCATACATGTAATGGTCATGTACTGTGGACAGTACCCACAGGAGCGAATTTGGGTGAAGTGTCTTGCCCAAGGACACAACGGCCTGTAATAATAATAATAATGTGTTTATATATTATATATATATATATATATATATATATATATTAGGGGTGTAACGGTACACGTACCCGTACCGAAATTATTCGGTACGGGCCCTTCGGTTCGGTACAGGTGTGTACCGAAGTGTACCGAACGAATATAACGTTAAACGTAAAAAATTGAGAACGTGAACAACTTTTTGGAAGTAATCTCAGGTGCTGCGTCGCAGCATTCAGAGTAATTTGGTCACATTGGGTTCAACGCGTCATAGAGCGAGCAAGTCATTTCATTGGATGAGAGGCATACTATGAGAGCTGGTCAGAGGGATGCGTTCAAATGTAGTAAGTAATTTGAGGAACTATCGAAAATTAATGGCGAACGCAGATAAAGTTGAGCTCGAAAATCCTCCAGCATCATTGAAGTCTCCGGTTTGGGAACATTTTGGTTTCGCAGTTACGTACAAGGATGAAGGACAAAGACAGGTGGACCGAACCAAAGCTGTTTGTCGGCATTGTTCAACTAAAATTAGTTACGCGGCTGGCAATACATCAAACTTGCACACTCTTGAAAAGGCATCACCCGAACGTGAATATCACCGGTACCAAAAGAAAAAAGACTGAAGTGCAAACCCAACTCCCGCTAGCATGTAAGCCTCCACCACTCGCAGAGAGTTCAGACCGAGCCAAAGCTATTACAAACGCCAAATATCCTTATGTTGCCATGTTAGCAAAGCGCTACCTGGCTGTATCTGCTACCTCTGTCCCTAGCGAGAGGGTGTTCTCCACAGCAGGAGACATTGTTAGTGCCAGCAGATCTGCCCTTTCAGCAAGCAATGTGGACAAGTTCATTTTTCTTTAAAAAAACATGAAAATACAATGACAAGCAAGTCATAATGTCAAACTGGCTGCTTAGGTGCAGTACAGTACAGTTCAAATACAGATTATTTCAGTTCATCGAAAAGCTGCACCTTAATGTTTATTTTATTATATTTTGTATTTATTTGAGTGAATATTCACAGTTTAATAATAATTAAAAACCCAAAACTAATAGTTTATGTTTTGTGAGTACTAGTACAGTAAAGTTCAAATACAGATTATTTCAGTTCATCGAAATGCTGCACCTTAATGTTTATTTTATTATATTTTGTATTTATTTGAGTGAATACATTATTCACAGTTTAATAATAATAAAAAAATATATATATATGTTTTGTTCTGTGAAAAAAAATTCTGCTGTACCGAAAACGTACCGAACCGAACCGTGACCAAAAAACCGAGGTACGTACCGAACCGAAATGTTTGTGAACCGTTACACCCCTAATATATATATATATATGCCTATATCAGAGTTCCCGTTAGAATATTTTTTCGCCGGTCAACATGTCCGTTAAAGTTTAAATCTTCCGGACAACATTTGAAAAGTGCCGGTCAAAGGTCTTCTTTGTTATTTATTGAGCTTTAAAACAAATTGATGATTCGATATTAAACAAACTAATTATAGTAGATTAACTACATTATTCAAAAGTGTACAGTAATTTACAATAACACGGGAATAATAAACGGAGCGCTCTCTCCCTCTCCTGACAGCCCCGTCATGCAGCAGGCGGAACAGTGATGAGTAACCCGACAGTAAAACTAAACATATCTATAACCAGTTACGGTAGTTTGAGAGGTCATTAAAATAGCTACGTGTGATATTCTAACCTGAAGTGTGTGTTTTGTTCCGCTCACCGCTGCATGTGATCATGCAGAGCTGCGTGTCGACTCGTCAGCAGCAGCTGATCTCTCTCTCCCGTCAGATTAGACTTTACTCGCGTTTATGTCCATATCGATCAGATCTAGTTAGTTCTAGCTAATGATATGACTACCTGCTTATTAAAAGACACCTAAACAATAAGTGTCGCTACGCAACCGGGTGAGGCCACAAAGTATAGCGCAGAATTATGCATTTGTTTACATGTCGACCGGAACCCAGAGGCATTACCAACAGATCAACGCACAATCAACCCATACAGGACATCTCTTTTTCCACATTACGTGTTAGACATTAGAATGGACTATTGTTGTCTGTCACATACTCTTTTGTCTGTCACATAAGAGGCGCAAGTTGCGCAACTGATGTGGTATTGCGCTAAGGGGAAATATATTTGGACGGACACTTTGACCGGAGAGATTTAGATTTGCCGGTCTTCAGCATATTTTACCGGTCATAGTCCGGTAATTACCGGCTAACGGAAACTCTGATATATCCTATATATATATATATATATATATATATATATATATATATATATATATATATATATATAAAGAATGGTGAGATGCAAAATGGATTTATAAAAAAAGAAAGTAACTTCAATTTATTAATCTCCTTTTTTCCAATTTAATGGTATTTTCCCATGATGTTCACCTCCTTCTTTGCTTTCACTTTACACGTTATGAAATAGCAGTCTAGTGTAGTTGGAGGTGCGTCACTGCACACTTCTGCCCACACCCTAATCACTTGGGAACTTACACTTAAATGTCATTACTTTTTAAAGCTGCATTTTTAAGTCATGTCTAATGCTTTGTTGTTTATTTTTTACAGGATGCTGACAAGAATATCATCAAGTGGCTGAAGGAGAATGGTCGCCTCATCAATGCCAGCAGCTTCAAACATAGTTACCCCTTCTGCTGGAGGTGAGACAAAGAGTCAAACTGTAAAATCTGAACGCTGTGTCACATTAGCAGCTTTGTTTCAGTCGTCCACTGTAGACCCTTTTAAACACAAATAAGAGCAGATGTTTGGCCTGTACAAATTAAATATGGTATTTTTTCTACTTCAATACAGGCAAGCTAATTGTATGTTAAAGGCACTGAACAGTTCAGTGTCAGAGCAGAGGTTGGGCTTCTTCTGTGTTCATTTTTCCCTTGGGAGCATTAGTGCAGCAGGATGTCATTAGAGGTTTTGTGGTCTCTACTCAGAATCATTTCACATGCAACCTCAAGGTCCCACATTATCACATTGTAACTAACAGCCACATGCAGACCTACACACATACACACATAGCAGACTAAATCACTGTCTCACTTGAAGCGGCTGCAGACTGACCTGGGCAGGATTAATTAACCCAGTAAATGTGCAGAAATATTCTTTCTAAGCCACAAGGAGACACTGGCTCGTTGAGATGAAACGGTTGTGTTATTAAACACTCGGCCCCTGTACGGTAGAGGAGGGAACTTGGTTTAGACTGAACTTGAAAATGATGTTCTCTAAACTACAAATAAGTGGTGGAGCTGAAAATAACAACGCTAATAAGACATGAAGCAGTAAAGAGTCAAACAAGTTAATAGAATTAGGTTCATAAAAAGTGAGATTTACAATTTAATTTGTAAATGACTGACCTTATATACATTAGGTGCACATTCAACTTGATGTCACTTTGCTTATAATTTCCACAGTTTTTCTGTGGTTGAGAAATAAAAACTTTTTTTCTCAAGATGGAGTCTACAGCTATGCTCATACTCTATGCGGATGATTGAGACTGATGTGAATGTCATTGTTTTTGCAGATTATTGGTGATAAATCAAACTTCTTGACGAATTACACTTTTGACTTGATGATGGCTTGCACTATAAAAGCCCAATTGTTAAATGATACAGATATATCAGTCCAAGACGGTGGACCGACTAGCCGAATGAAAAAGGCAATTTTCATTTTTTTTATAAAAAGTCCTTATTTTGTAGCTGATCTTTTATGAAATGTGTTTATGCTTTTTTTTAGGTCTGACACGCCCCTGATCTACAAAGCCGTTCCAAGCTGGTTTGTGCGAGTGGAGCACATGGTGGAAAAACTACTGGCCAACAACGACAAATGCTACTGGTAAACTGGGGATAGTTAGCTTGGCTGCTTAGCTTAGCATCAAGTGATCTAAAAATAACAAGTTGTTAAGTTCCCACACAAAAACAACCATGACGCTGCAGGTTTTATGTCTCTGCAGGAGAGCTCTCTATTACTGGGCGTAGTTTTAATAAAAAAAATCTGTATTTCTTATTAAATGGTGTTAAAAAAAAACCTAATTATAGCATTTTATTATGATGCACATGGGACTGATCTGTACTTGAAAACATTAGCATGATGCTAATTTTAAAGGCAGAATGTCGTGCAAAAGAGAGCGTCAGCAGGATGGCTTTGCTAAATGGTATTACCCCTGCTGCTCCCAGTGCTCTTTCCTGAGCCACAGTAACTGCCTCTGGTAATGGGACTGTCAAACAGAGATGAATGACTAGCCGCCAGGAAGCTGGAGACGCACTCATGAACACGGAGGCCTGCACTAACGCACACATTACTTTAAAGGCCATATTCCTTTTCTGAGGGATACAAGTGTTGTATGGTACACATTACCGTACAATACAGTATGTTATTGTGCTTTTGTAATGTAGAATGTGGTATTTATTTCTGCCATTGATTGAATTTATTTTTCTAACTTAACACTTGGTATATAAAATCTCACAATACAGCTACAAAAGGCCATAACAGGTACACAGAGCCCACGGTGAAATCCTCTATCAGCTCAAAACTCCAAACCCCATGATATTACATGTAATATTATATAGATAACTAAAAAAACACAGTAAATATTCACATCCAATGCATTACTAATCGTTCGGCAGTAGAATAAAGGATAATACATTTACAATATTTGTTGACATAATGAAACATGTATTACTATATTCTTTAGACCAGTGCTTCTCAAAGTGTGGTCCACGGACCACTGGTGGCCCGTGAGCGCCCCCTCGTGGTCCGTGAGTATATTGGTAACATTTCACATTTGAAATAAATACATTTATTTCAGTTTTCCGCACTCTCGCGGGAATATCTCCGCAATGGAGCGAGGTTAAGTTTCACTTTCGATTGCATGATATAGCCCAGCGCAACACCTTCATCACACATGTTGCCACTTGTTTGTACCATTTTTAGGCGATTTGTAATCTGTTCTAGAACAACTATGTGTTTGTTTATATTTGTGGAGTCAGGCGAGTGTTTTTTTATTGGTTAAGTGGTCCTTGGTATGAAAAAGTTTGAGAAACACTGCTTTAGACTGTATATCTAATCTAACCATTTCTATAATTTATAAAGCTGTTATGCTTGGTGAGCCTTGAGGAAATGTAATTTAAAGTATATACACACATTCCCTCACTGTGTCTGTGGGTGCAGGGTTGGTGCTCCTAGAGTTTTCTAATTAAACTTATTCTCCATCATTAATTAATTGATTTTCTTTAAATAAGATTGTTTTTTCTTTTTTGATTGGACTCCACATTCTTACTTTAGTTTTAATCTCAGGAAGAGTGTCTGTCTGGCTCTGTCTGTGTGTATGTCTGCTTGTAGGGCTCAGTTCATGTTCACTCGTGTGACACTTAAAATAATCCTTGAGAAAGCAAAGTGCTCGTTACCATATTCTTGAAGTGATTTTCATTTTTTTTGTGGCATTCCTTAAATGGTGCATTGGGTTGACTCAGGCTAAGTATATATTGAGCAGGTTCAGACTGATTTCTCTGTCTTTCTGATAAAATTAAGGGCCAAATTAACGAGTGCTTGCAGGGGGAGCTGGTCCCTTTTGAGGCTGAAGGGGCAGGAAGCTGAGTAACTGGCGCCTGATTTCAGAATGTAGTTTCTTGACCATAAGTGAGTGTTGAGTGATTGGTCCTAAGATAACTCAGGCTGGATTATTCAATTTTTTCTCCATTGGATTTTTCTCTTCTCTTGTTTGTTTGTCTATTGGATTCAAACCCAACCGTTTTTCTATTTAAAACAATGGTTCCTTGATTTTAGACCCTGGTAGACAAAAGTAGGCTTCTCCTTCTCTCTCAACACAGCAACTGTTGCAGATTTAAGCAAATAGCTTATGTTAAAATTTCTGCTAACATTAAAGCAGACAAACACACACCTGAGTGGGTTGTAAGAAGAAAGCACCAACCAAACTCTTCATGTACTGACTGTAATTCTCTCTAAAGACTCCTGCTAACAGCTTCATCCTGTGATAAAATCCAACGCTTGACAGACCTGTCCATCACAAAGCCATGTGGGAGAAAAATCGCTGTTCACGAGGAAGGGTTTAGCAAACAGTCAATTATTATATATGTTGCATAATGTTCATTTGCTTTTAATTTTCTACCCTCAGTTATTTTTACTTTTCCATCCTCCTTGCCTCCATCTTGCAAACACTCATTCAGTCCTGACCACAACCTCTGTCTCCCTCTTGTCTCCATCCCCAGCGTCTCTGACTTATAATAGAAGCCTGAACATGTTAAATGGCTCTTCTGTGCGTCTCGAGCACAAGACAGCACACTTTAATTCTACATTTAGCACCAAGCAGGAGTGGGAGGGCGAGGGGGGGAGGAGTGTTCGAGGGGGGCTGGTGAGCAGCAGCAGTAAAAAAAAAAAAAAATCATTAAATTGATATATTAGCGGCCTAAATAGAAATGCCTCCTACAAATGGGAATTGATGAACTCGTTGCTTAGCGCGTGGATCCAGACGAGGATTTATATCCCCCCTGCTCGGTTCTGCTGAGCAACACGGCCTGGCACAGCAAGAGAGGAAGAGATTGTGAGATAGTGGATTAAAGCTAGAAATCGGTCCAGGCAAAATGGGAAAAGAAGAGAGCAGAGGAGGAAGATGCCTTGAAGGGAATGTTAACCTTTGCCGATGAGCTTCATAGAGAGAGCAGTGAAGCGTTTATTTTTAGGGCAAAAACGAGGCAGCAAAGGAACATAATTCAGCTCAATAGGAACATAATAGACATTATAGTCATTCTTGCTCTTGTTGGAAGTAATATGTTGTACATTTAATTAACATGGTATCTATAGGGCCTAAAAAGCACCAAGAAATATTACCCACAGGTGGGATTACTCTGATAGGTGGCTGTTCAGTCTTGTTGTTTCAGATTTATACTAAAAACTGTCACTACTGCCTACTACATTAGCTAGAAGGCGCATACATTTATAACGAGCAAGTTTAAAGGAACATCAATAAATTGAATCTTAATTGCATTTGATTTATCCATCTATCTTTGAGTACTTATATATATGTATGCCACGTATCCCGATTGCGCTATGTTAAGAAATGATGCGATAGGTAAACATTTTCATTTACAGCTGGCAGGTACTGAAAGAATAAGATTATATTAAATTATTTGAAGTCACGTCCCTGCTGTTTTCTATTGTATTTTTCAGACATTTTATGGTATGACATTCCCATTAAAATGCAATCTATGCGGTGTGGAAAAGGTGTTTAAAGTCTGAACATAATGAACCCTGCAGAATATAAACGTTAAAACAAGAGTTGATTGCAATATTTGTCTTACGTGTCATTTCAAGCAAACGTTGACCTCCCTCCTACACACACACACACACACACACACACACACACACACACACACACACACACACACACACACACACACACACACACACACACACACACACACACCTGAATCTTCTGGTGGTTCCAATCATGTTTAATATTTTTAAAGAATAACTAAAACCCAATTCATAATCTTTCTGTCTCTGCAGGGTTCCAGAGTTTGTGCGTGAGAAGCGTTTCGGGAATTGGCTGAGAGACGCACGAGACTGGGCGATTTCCAGGAACCGTTACTGGGGCACGCCGATCCCTCTCTGGGTCAGCGACGACTTTGAGGAGGTCAGGAAAACACACAAACACACACTTGTTGTGCATTTAATAGAGTGCTTAATCCTTCTAATGTGTCTTTGTACTCTGCGGAGATCACACAATTAGTCTGTGTCATGACCAAATACCAAGACACTTACTCTTTTCACAGGGTTGGCAACACTCACAAATCAATAGGGGCTCTGCATGCGAGAGCATAATTGAAAAGTTGAACATAACTCTCACTTTTATTAACTCATGAAATAAGTCTGGGAGAAAACTATTTTATGTCTCTCCAAAGAGAATTTTAGTCTGCTGCAAGAGTACAGAAATCCAGCTCCTGAGTGAATGTTTCCCACCTCTTTTTGACACTCACATCATTTAGAATATGTGAACCTCTTTGTGTGTGGAGGCTTGTGTAGGAGAGACTTCCCATCAGGATGTCTCATGGTGAGTTGACCATGGTGTCAAACCAGAGAGTGACTCCGTACTGCAGTCAGTCTGCTCCCCTCAGGCACCATTACCCAGTGACTCCGTAAACTCAACACATGAATGATTCATTAATGTAAACAGAAAATAAACTCAAACCAAAATGTGTTGGTTTCTTTTCAAACAGCGATAGGGGGGAGGAAGGGAAGGAAGACGCGGAAAATAAGGGGAGGAGGAAGAGGGGACAGAATAAATTAGCCGTCAAAGAAAATGAGGAAGTGAAATACATAAGACGGGGTTAAGGGGGGGAGCAATGGAAGATGAAAAGTGAGCGAGGAAGATAAATGGAAGAGGATAGAGAGGCAGACAGTGGAGAAGCCAGCCAAACTGTATAAATGTCCGCCTGGTTATGGGTGTTTATTGCCAAACCTATAAGACTGAACTGAATAGAGATGTCAGAATTGGGTTGTTTGAGCGTTTGAAAAATGAGGTGTGTGTCCCCTGGCTGAAAGAAGAACAGCTAGCGACCTGCTTGCTGGAAATAGCATTGTGACTGTTTCCAGAACACTTACACTCCCTGGCGCCTCACACACACAACGCTAAAGATGTAAGTGAATGTGTGTGGATCTATGCGTGTGGCAGTATGATAATTCTAACTCTCAGTGTCTTATTTCTCTCTTTCTGAACGTGATCTGGTAAAACTAGAGCAGAGCCTATAGGTTAACTCTCTGAGGAGGCCAGATAACACACTTAACCAGGGTAGGAATTTCACGGCGGCCATGACGGCCATGGCCGTCGTTGCTCCTTGGTCTGGCCGTTATGCCCCACAAATAATTGTACGTCCTACGGCCACCATGGACTGTTAAAATCTCGAAGTTGCTCTAAAAGCGTTAGAGCAGTGGTCTGGTCTCTGAACTGCGTTATGCTGCGTTCACAACGGACGCAATATTCGCATTGCTCTAATCGCTGGAGTTTCACCGTGGCTGTCAGCTGTGTTTACTCCTGTCATTCAAACAGGACGCACTGGAGAGGGGGCAGGGCTTATATCCATGTAAATACTGTGGTAGAAACCAACTACAACAAAATGTACATATTTTACCGTGATTTAATTGTTGACAAGTCTGCAGACAAAACGGCAGGCGAAAAACCTTTTAAAATGCATTTTCTGAATGGAGATCAGATCGATCAGGCTAAACTAACCTAGTCCAAACTCACAACAACGTCCTAAAGACAGTCTGTGGTTTGTAGATGTTTAACTTTCGTCCAGTTTCTGACAGAGATGGAGTACTCGAGTCCTGGACTCGAGTCGGACTCGAGTGCCGATTTTCGGGATTCGTGACTCGACTCGGACTCGCGCACTGATTGACGCGACTCGGACTTGGACTCGTGAATTCTCGCGCACGATGACTCGGACTCGGACTCGTGAATTTCCCCACCCACAATGACTCGGACTCGACTTGTACATTGACGCTCCGACTTGGACTCGGACTCGTGAATTCCCCCCCCCACGATGACTCGGACTCGACTCGTACATTGACGCTCTGACTTGGACTCCGACTCGAGCAAGTTTTCTCTGGAGTCTGATGTCCTCTATCCTGGCTTGTGCACCTGTGAGGCGAGTTCACGTACTGGCCCCCGCTGTTCCAGTCTAAACATGTCTAGAGACACACCCCGCATCATGCTGTATGCTTTCACACATTCTGCTTCCACATTGGAAAAGAGCAGCGCAAAATGCTTGTTATGTTATGGGGAAACAAGATTGAAGAGAAGGCTCCATAACACGACATTACTCTAAGGATCGAGTTCAGACATATAGGCTGTGTTGAACACTATATTCAGAGTAACGTGATCTAATCAATAAATAAAGATTCAGCAGATAACACGAAAGCACATGGCTACTTAACATGCAGAATGATGTAATTTTGCATGCTAAGTAGCCATGTGCTTTCTGGGCTAAATCTTTATTAGTAAACTGATTTAACCGGTAAAACTTCCTTCAAAATAAGAGTCCCGATCTTATTACTATCAAAATAAAAGTGCAAAACGAAAACTTTACCATAGGAAAATATTGGCATACAAATATAATCACTTCTCTAAAAGTTAACTCATTTTAAATATAGTTGGACATATTAAAGGTAATTTACAATAATAGTAAGTAGTAAGCTTTATATTTGTATAGCACCTATTACAAGAATTGTAGCCAGTAGCCAAACTCGCTTCACAGTAGTTCAATAGACAGATTAGTATAACATGACAGGATAAAAGCAATGTAGAGGAGCAGCTACATTTCAACACATATATCCACGAAGATTAATACATGAAGACTTGTGACTTGGACTTGACTTGGACTCGAACACAGGTAATGATGACTCGGACTCGACTCGGACACTCCTTGGGTGACTCGGACTTGGACTCGGACTCGACTACGACTCTCCCTTGGTGACTTGGACTCGGACTCGAAGAGTGGTGACTCGAGAGTGACTTGGACTCGTGAATTGGTGACTTGACTGGCCTTCAATGGCCTTTGTGCCCTGACATGTGGCCTTTGTGCCCTAAACAAATGTGTGACACCAAAGGCCAAATGGCCTTGCCCCTAAAATGACGAAATTCCCAGCCTGCACTTAACCATACTGTACTTTCTAAGGGAAAGTCACTCAGGAAGTCTGTAAAAGTAGGCCTACTTCATCAATACTTTTGTAAAATGTGTGCCTGAATGCTGTTTTAGGACATTTCTTAATAAGAGTGTGTTTGTGTTTGTCCGTCAGGTGGTGTGTATAGGGTCCATTGCTGAACTGGAGGAACTGTCCGGAGTCAAAGTAACTGATCTGCATCGGGAGAGGTGAGTCACTGATCCAACACCCAGATTATCAGGCAACCACCTGAGCATGCACTCAGTGGAGTGTGACTGCTGGGGTAGTGTGATACCCTCAGATTCACAGACTGTGTGTGTGTGTACATGAAACGATACGTTTACAATGTGATGTTTGTGCTTGTATGTCAAGTTCATGGTCAAGGTCAAATGTAATTATAGAACGTATTTAAAACAACAAACGTGCTGAAAAGGATCAAAATCGAAAGGCTTTACAGCGTACTTCTTTGCAATGATAACCCAGAAATTACCCACTCTCCTCAGACAATGCAACATACAAATAGTGCAAGAGAAAATTAGTGCAAGAACGTAAAAGGGCTAAATAAATGACAGGAAATGTAAATATATACATATAAAATATATACAGTGGAGCAAAAAAGCATTTAGTCAGCCACCAATTGTGCAAGTTCTCCCACTTAAAAAGATGAGAGGCCTGTAATTTTCATCCTAGGTACACTTCAACCATGAGAGACAGAATGGGGGGAAAGAATCCAGGAAATCACATTGTAGGATTTTTAATGAATTAATTGGTAAATTCCTCGGTAAAATAAGTATTTGGTCACCTACAAACAAACAAGATTTCTGGCTCTCACAGACCTGTAACTTCTTCTTTAAGAGCCTCCTCTGTCCTCCACTCGTTAACTGTATTAATGGAACCTGTTTGAACTCGTTATCAGTATAAAAGACACCTGTACACAACCTCAAACAGTCACACTCCAAACTCCACTATGGTCAAGACCAAAGACACCAGAAACAAAATTGTAGACTTGGCTGGGAAGACTGAATCTGCAATAGGTAAGCAGCTTGGTGTGAAGAAATCAACTGTGGGAGCAATTATTAGAAAATGGAAGACATACAAGACCACTGATAATCTCCCTCGATTTGGGGCTCCACGCAAGATCTCACCCCGTGGGGTCAAAATGATCACAAGAACAGTGAGCAAAAATCCCAGACCCACACGGGGGGACCTAGTCAATGACCTGCAGAGAGCTGGGACCAAAGTAACAAAGGCTACCATCAGTAACACACTACGCCACCAGGGACTCAAATCCTGCAGTGCCAGACGTGTCCCCCTGCTTAAGCTAGTACATGTCCAGGCCCGTCTGAAGTTTGCTAGAGAGCATTTAGATGATCCAGAAGAGGATTGGGAGAATGTCATATGGTCAGATGAAACCAAAATAGAACTTTTTGGTAAAAACTCAACTAGACGTGTTTGGAGGAGAAAGAATGCTGAGTTGCATCCAAAGAACACCATACCTACTGTGAAACATGGGGGTGGAAACATCATGCTTTGGGGCTGTTTTTCTGCAAAGGGACCAGGACGACTGAGCCGTGTAAAGGAAAGAATGAATGGGGCCATGTATCGTGAGATTTTGAGTGACAACCTCCTTCCATCAGCAAGGGCATTGAAGATGAAACGGGGCTGGGTCTTTCAGCATGACAATGATCCCAAACACACCGCCCGGGCAACGAAGGAGTGGCTTCGTAAGAAGCATTTCAAGGTCCTGGAGTGGCCTAGCCAGTCTCCAGATCTCAACCCCATAGAAAATCTTTGGAGGGAGTGAAAGTCCGTGTTGCCCAGCGACAGCCCCAAAACATCACTGCTCTAGAGGAGATCTGCATGGACAGCAACAGTGTGTGAAAACCTTGTGAAGACTTACAGAAAACGTTTGACCTCTGTCATTGCCAACAAAGGGTATATAACAAAGTATTGAGATGAACTTTTGTTATTGACCAAATACTTATTTTCCACCATAATTTGCAAATTAATTCATTAAAAATCCTACAATGTGATTTCCTGGATTCTTTCCCCTCATTCTGTCTCTCATAGTTAAGGTATACCTAAGATGAAAATTACAGGCCTCTCATCTTTTTAAGTGGGAGAACTTGCACAATTGGTGGCTGACTAAATACTTGTTTGCCCCACTGTATATAGATATCTATATCTGTATATATATATATACACAACATAAGAATAAAAGACTACATTAACCTAATAATAGGCGCATTTACACCGCAGTACTTTTCCCACAAAGGTTCATGAGAACTCTTTAGTTCTCATGAACTAAATTCAGATCGCGTTCACACCGGAATAAGTTCCTGAGGGAGGATTAGGCAAATGAAGCCGCTGACGTCACTTCTTCTTCTGCTTTGGGTTTACTGGCAGGCCGCAAACAACTTCACGGCGTATACTGCCACCCGAAGTCCCCGGCCGGAAGTCCCCGGAGTTGGGGACTGGCTTCAGTAGAAGCTGCTGGGACTCCCAGCAGCTTCTACTGAAGCCTTCCGAGTAAATCGCCAGAACGCCGACACCTCCTCATCTCCACTGCTCCCATGTTTTCTTTTGTGTTGCCATAAATTAGTCTCTCTGCGTTTGTGCGCTATGCTAATGCTAATAATGCTAATGCAAGGATAATAAAATGGCGGCTTCACAAAACCTTTTGGGAGTTTTACGGGGCGTGGTTTACATTCCGCCCAGCCAATCAAACATAGGAACCCTTTCGGAACCCCGAAAGTACTGCTCTCTAGCAGGGACGGAAAAGGGGCTAAAAAGGTTCTGATTAACTAATTTTAGTTCCAGCTCTTTTTGGTGTGAACCATAGACTGTATATATAAATGGACGTAGTGTCCGTGACGTCACCCATAGGATTCTGCAGAGTTGCCGTGAAGCCCTTAGTAGGCGGAGTCGGCCACTAACGGCTCGACTGTGACGTCAGAGTCTAATCCCGCCTGCTCCAAATAAGGGCAAAGAGGCGGAGCCGAGGCGGGACCAGTTGCCTCCGAACTGGAAGTAAACAGTGCTAGCTCAGGCTAAGAAGCTAAGCTAACATGAAATACATGCATACCAAGTTACTGCTAACAGTGTAGTTCCCCTATATAAACGTTACATTCATAATCAAATGAGACAATCTGCAAGAGAATTAGCTATATTTTGTTATTCTTAATGCATGTCATTCACACGTTGAGAAAAGACGGACTCCACCGCCCGGACCTAACGGAGCCGCAGTGGGCTAGCTCCGGGATGCCGGCTGGAGCTAGCCCCCTGCGGCTCCGTTAGCTCCGGCGGCCACCACTGGGATAATCGGGTCCCCTATTAACATTTGCTCCCGTTTAGCATTATGAGCGTCTAGCCATAGACTATACAAGTCTTACCCAAGGCTGAATCATAAACTAAAATGTATATGTATGCATAAAGGGTTACGTCCTTAGCTGGCTAATAAGTAACAAGCTAAGCTACCAAGCACACAAACACCTGCGAACGGGGTTAACATGTATAATATTATCATTTTAGACTTCTTGGAAGTTCTGGAATTGTCTGGTATTTGTAACAATATTCCCTAAAAGCATAGGCGGCGCGTGAGGCTCAGGTTTGGGAAGGCTAAATAACTTTTTTTTCATCTTACGCTGCCCGCCTCCGGCGTCTATAGAAAAGAGATCAACTCAGTGAAAGCACTGCCTGCTGACCGATCAGAGCTCAGTGTGCGGAGTTTAAATCTATCAAGTCATATTACAGGAAAAAGGAAATGCAGTTTGAACTGCCGTATGCAGAGAAGACGCCGACGTGTCGCACTTATCATTCATATCACACTGACATCACATCATCAATCAGATCATCGATCTCACATCGATATCACAATGTTTCCTTATCTGAGTCAGCTTCTCGAGCCGTATCTGGCCGTGCAACACTTAGTTACATTGAATTTGTCACATATACTGTATGCAGACGTATTATTTTATGCAACACATTACTGTAAGTTGACGAAACACTCAACTCAAATGTAATAAAGTCAGATCCCCTCGTGTCTTAGATGGGGCAGTATCATAAAACTGTTGTACGCTTTCAAACACTCGGTAGTTTATTTTTTAACGAGTTGTTCTGTATTCTCCTTGCAGGTGCAACTATGTGGCTTGTATCCTGGATTATATGTTTAAGTCATGGATGTTTAAAGTTCATATTTGTCTAATATTAGTTTACTTTTCATTAATGAAGTATGATGTTGCGCTGTCAGTACACTTGTCCCTGTTTGTGATTGGTCAAATGTAGCTAACCCCGCCCCTTTCACGTGAACGCGTTCTCAGCTGGAGAGAGAAACCCTGGCTTGATTTACCAGAGTTGATATTAACCAGCGTCGTAGGACCGCTTAGCGAGATCTCGTTTGTTAGGGTTAGTTAAGATAACTCAAACGTATCCAGGGTATGTTGAACTGGCTTCGTACATGGCACAGGTGCCTGCATAGCAGCGCTAATGTCAAAGACACACATTAGACATTATATTTTTATTTTTACCAGGATGCAGTTACACAAATATTTGAGAAGGCTTAGCCTTCCCTAGCCTACAGTACCCGCCGCCCCTGCCTAAAAGGCACAATCACCACGAACACGGCTAAAGCTAAAGGGTCAAGTACAGTACTATGACTAACTAACGTTGTAGCCTCTATGGTTGTAGCCTAGCAGAGTGGACAAGTTGCTGTTAGCTGACAGTGAGGCATGTACGTGTCCATCAAAGTGACCACGCCCTAATTTATGCAAAAACTTAAGACCTAATATAAATAAAAGGGTCGTGTTAGAAAACAATTCACTCACAGATTCATAATCATGAAGGTGGAATCTAACTATATCGATAATCATATTTATTACATGTTTTTTTCTGCTGTAAAGTTGGGCATTTTAACATGGGGGTCTATGGAAATTGCTCCTTTCTGCAGCCAGTCCCTAGCGGCCCATGTATGAACTGCAGTGTGTGGCACTTCCGTATTGGCTTCCCGGCTCTACCCCACAGTTTGCCGCTTGGTGTGAACGCGACATTTCGGAACTAAAGTGGGAAAAGTACTGCTGTGTGAACGCGGCTATTAAAAAAGATGATATGGTGTATGAAGTGTCTGTGTTACATCTGCCCTCGGCCTCTCTAATGTGACCTGTCAGCCTGAACCAGACGTGTGCTGTGGAACACAGATCACTTCACTGTTCCTCTCTTCTTCCCTAATTACCTTTAATCACTTCCATGGCTTTAGACATCTTTAATTGATGGGGGAGAAAGAGGTCGCCTTTGTCCAATCCTGTGTTTGGCCTGTGTGTTTACAGGGAGCTTATAGGCAGTTTGACCTCTAGCTACAGTGTAGTTTGGGCAATGGAAATCTTATGTCCTTGGCTCTTCCAACAATGCAACATAAATGTATATATATTTATACATAAAACAATACAAATAGTACAAGAAGATAAATAAATATAAATAAATAGTGCAAGAGAAAAAATCTGAAAAATGTTATAAGACGAAAGAAACACAGAATGTTATATATAATACTGTACAGTGGAAGAAAATACTGCTTTTTGAAACTAAACTCAATGCTAAATATGTATGTATCCCTTACAACTAAGTGGACAGAAAATTCCCAGAGGTGATGACTCGGCACACATTGCGAAAATTATAGCAACACCCCACACAATCTTAAACTACTCAAAATGCACTCGGCAGTGCATTTCTTTTTAGAAAATGACTCCTTAACACTCTCCCTTTTCTAAATGGGCCCAGGAGCAGAGAGCTCTCTGCAGCAGAGTACTGCAGCTTTAGGGGCCAACAGCAGATTATTAAAGGTGTAATCTGCAGTTTATAGGCCTGAGTGTTAATGATTCAAAAAGGTTGTTGAAGTAGGCGAAAAGAAAAAAAAAGTGTGCTTAACAGGGTGGGATTTTCATGACGGCCATGGCCGTCGTAGCCCCTCGGTCTGGCCGTTATGCCCCACAAATAATTGTACGTCCTACGGCCACCATGGCCTTTGGGCCCCTCGCACTGTTAAAAGTTGCTTTAAAAGCGTCAGAACAGTGGTTTCTGAACTGCATTATGCTGTGTTCACAACGGACGCGATGCGAATACTCGCATCGCTCTAACCGCTGGAGTTTCATCGCGGCTGTCAGCTGTGTTTACTCCTGTCATTCAAACGGGACGCGCTGGAGAGGGGGCGGGGCGTATCTCCATGTAAATACTGTGGTGGAAACCAACTACGACCAAATGAACCTATTTTATCGTGATTTCATTGTAATACACCTTTCAAAATGATGCCGAAGTAACTAAATACTGATAACGGTTAGTAAAAACCATGCTTTAATGCTTTGACAAGTGTGCAGACAAGACGGCATGCGAAAAACCTTTTAAAATGCGTGTTTTGTGAATGGAGATTGGATCGATCAGGCTAAATTAACGTTGTAGCTGCTCCGTCCACACTCACAACAACGTCCTAAAGACAGAATTAAAGCAGCGACTGTATTCGTCATGACACAGTCTGTGGTTTGTACATCTTTAACTTTTGTCCAGTTTCTGAACAGATATGAGGAGCTGTGAGGAGTTGATTAAAGAGACACACACACACACACACACACACACACACACACACACACACACACACACACACACACACACACACACACTTTTGCATTCCAAAGTATTGCTTGTTCATACAGTTGGATGTTGGAGCTTCACTGTGCACTGCTGAATGATGTATGTGCAGAGTTTGACCCTTGAAGGCTGTTTCTTCTGCTCTGAAATTGAATATATTTGTTACATATTAATAGAATTTTTGATTATTAGATTTGATTTCGGATTTGTGAATGGGAGTAGTAGTAGATGGAAAACATACCAAACACTAATTATTCAAAGTAAAGTATTTCATTTTATATACGGTAATACTAAGGAGGCATAGGCCTATATAATGATACGATTATTGATATTAAAAAAGTGATTTGTTTTTTGTCATTAGAAAGTGACATTATTTATTTGTAAGCTCCAAATCCTAATTTTTCCCTCAATGGCCTTTGTGCCCTGGCATGTGGCCTTTCCGCCCTGAAAAAATGTGTGACACCAAAGGCCAAATGGCCTTGCCCCTAAAATGACGAAAATCCAAGCCTGGTCCATCTTTATGTGGATATATGATGTTACATCTAAGGGGACTTTCCATGCATATGAATTTAAACTAGATTTAGTCGGCAGCTTGACAATTTATAGGTTCATCTTTTTTCCTGAGGTTATAACTAAAGAAACAAAGATTTTGTTCATGGGCTTTATCTGTGTGAGTCAGAAAATTGAGTAAATTAATCCATATCCATGTCTGAACTTTAGTTTTTCATCCAAAGCAATAACCAAGCTTATTCTAGTGGGTGTCAGCACAATGTAAGCACCACAGTACTTTTCTTAAACCTCGTTCCCAGAGGTGAAAGATTAAACAATCGTTGCTTTGGCCTGCAGCCAAACTGCCTATAGACCCCTGCATCCACATAGTGTACAAAAAGCTCCCTGTGGCAATAATAAAACCCTTAAATAAAAAAGAACTGGTCAAATTGTTATTGCTGCCATTTGTCTTAAAAATGGTTCCTCCTTATTCTTTGTTCTTTCTCCGTTTCGTTCCATTTTGCTCTGCACAGCATCGATGGTCTGACCATCCCGTCCCGCTGTGGTAAGGGGGCACTGCGCAGGATCGCAGAGGTGTTCGACTGCTGGTTTGAGAGCGGCAGCATGCCGTACGCCCAGGCCCACTACCCCTTTGAAAACAGGAAGGAGTTCGAGGACACTTTCCCAGCGGACTTCATCGCCGAAGGCATTGACCAAACGAGGGGGTGGTAAGCATCGGAAGACATGAGAGCTGGAAGAGGTCAACAGATGAGGGATAGGGACATTGAGAGCCTGCTGAGTTCATTGATGAAATTGACAAGACAGAGCATGAATGCATGGACACGAGTGGTGTTCTAAAACACTTCATTATACATTTTTTTTAATTGAATAGACAAGTATCAAATAATGGGAAATGACTGAATAAAAATGGATAGTTTAATTGTATTTTTTCTCAGTTCTACTCCATACAAGGATTCAATTGTAAAAATATACTGCTCATTACCCTGACTTTGTGTAATGTCATTGTGTATCCTCCTGCAGGTTTTACACCCTGTTGGTGCTCTCCACAGCGCTGTTCGGAAAACCGCCCTTCAAGAATGTCATCGTTAACGGACTGGTCCTTGCTAGGTGAGGTTTATTAACAAACCCCTCTTCCTCTTCTTCCTTTAATTTGCAGATATACATATTTTTTATTTAATTTAAAGGCTGATCTATGTTTTTCTTACTGTCACCCAATGCTGTGAGAAGATCAAAACCAAGCATCTTGATACTTTCCAATTACTAGTCCCTTCAATTGCCTAAGCTTGCCATAGCTACACAGGCAATACTCAATAACAGGGTGCATGTTTGGTTCAAGCCTTCAATGGGTTTCGTTAAAACATGTGCAAACTGTATATTTCAGTCAATTTCAAAAACATTTAAACTGTTTTTTATGTAACTCAGTCCTGTTTGTTTGTTTCCTTTCTTCTTCACCTGTCCATTCATCTCCTATTGTTTTGCCGTTTCCTTTCCCAGTGTGGTATGTGTGCCATAACATTTAGCCTTAGTGCTGCTCTACAATAGGGCTACTTGTCCTCAGCCCCGGGGTCTAAACGCAGCACTGTGCTCGTAGGCCTGCTGACCTGGAAGGACTTGACTCATTTGAATACCAAGTTTCTAACATGCACTTTTGGGCATGCATGCGTGTGGATGTGCATTAATGCCTTTGCTTGTCCCACTCCTACAGCGATGGACAGAAGATGAGCAAGCGCAAGAAGAACTACCCGGATCCAGGCCTGGTAGTGCAGCAATATGGAGCCGATGCCCTCAGGTTAGCTTCGTGCTCCACTGTGAATGAGTGTGTCTCTGAAGCATGAATGCGTGTGTGCCGGTGGCAGGGTTCTGTTTGTTAACTTACCTTATGTTATTAGCAGGCATGGTTTTAAAAGGTTTAAAACGCTATCCACGCTTATCTAGGCTCTTTCTTTGTCCCACAAACACACGCATACTGTACATACACATTCATATACATGTTGTTTGTACAATCATTCAATACATCATATAATCGCTCCCTTGCCCTGAGCGGTGAGAGTGCCACGGCCATATGGTCCTTATGAATAAAGCACTATGCAGTTTCGCCATATGCTCACCTATATAGTGATGAAGAGTGAGCTGCAGAGATAAAAGTGGTAAATGGTAAAGTTCCTCTTTAAAGCTTTACCATATGTAAACACAATCACTCTTTTGTCCCTAAAACTTCACTCACACTGTTATGGTACAGCAAGTTTCTTAGTATGTTTACTCTTACATTATATGGAAACTGAACCAGAGACTGAAGCATAGACTGTGAGGGTGTTTTGTATTTACAGTAGCTACCAGCAAACCATTCATATGTGCCCATTTTGCCCATATTTATAATTTAATATTCAATTATATGAATATTGCCTTTGGTTGCCTGAAGTTGCATCAACCCTTATACTGAAAACCCTTTTCTAACCAGTCTACCCCGGCGCGCTGACGCCTGCCACAGACTATTATATTGATATGCATTATTTAGAAATTCTGTCAAATTCTGTGTTTATTTGGCTTTAATGAAGAGAATAGATACATTTTTAGAGATTGCTGGTAAATTAGGTTTTGGCCCAAAAATGTTTTGCAGAAAATATTCACGTGAACATTTAGACTAAATGGTGAATCTAATCCAATCAAGATTTGTCTGACAGCAAAATATCCTTGCCATTAGGAAAATGTAGCCTGCGTCATTGCTTGCCTTTGATTGGTGTCCAATAAGTGTTTTTATAATCATGTGAAGAGTAGTGTTTGCCTTATTCTGTTGTTGAAACAGCCTCAAAGATTAGCTCTTCTTGCTTTGTTTGCTGTCAGATTACAGTTTCAGATTTGTTGCATTTTATGCATTTGAACAACTCGTTAATACACACATGTTTCCGAGTTGTTGTTTCGATTCAAATCTCGAGTCTGAATCTCATTTTTCCAATTATTCCAACACCACATGATTGCAGCAGAAATGCATATTTCCCAATGTTTACATAAACAAAACACAATTTGTGTACAGGTTCTTAAAGATTGACTTAATGTGTGTAGGTCCACTTACACAAACAGCCTCACTCATTCATAGAAATGTTCAGTGTGCACACCTTGGAGTTACTACCTGTGTACACACTAAGTGAAAACCAATTTTGCCAAACACACCAACAGCTGATTTACTGTCCCTCTTTGTAGACTGTACCTCATCAACTCTCCTGTAGTGAGAGCAGAGAATCTGCGTTTCAAAGAGGAGGGTGTGCGTGACGTGTTGAAGGATGTCTTCCTGCCGTGGTATAACGCCTACCGCTTCCTGGTGCAGAACGTACAGCGGTTACAGAAGGTAATGAACACATTCCCTACCCCCCTAATCAAGGTCTAAAAAGCACAATGCTGAGAGTACAGAACATTGTTACTATTATTCATCATTTAAATATAGTTAGTGCCATGAAATAATGTTGTTTTTGTTGGTTAACTGATGACTGGTTATATGGGTCCACATTGGATACAATTTAGAAGCAGACATTTTTCTTTTGATCTGCACATTGGAGCAACTTTAAAAATATATTAAGAAGAGAATGATGCTTAAACAGGCAGATTCTTCTCAAAGGGTGACTGCAGTAGCTAGTAATACACTACACATCTAAACATATCAATGTTGACACCTACAATCAAAGAAAGTAACATCTGCTGCAGCTACATGAACAACCTGTCCCCTAGATTCCCGTCATCTGTCTTAATCAGTTATAGTAAATGGCATAAGATCCGGTTGTTATGTGTGTCGATTATACGTGTTTGTGTGTGTGTGTTCAATCTTGTGTATGTTTGCGTCAGGAGGATGACATTCAGTTCCTGTACAATGAAAACACGGCAAAGCAGAGCGACAACATCATGGACAAATGGGTTCTGTCCTTCACACAGTCCCTCATCCAGTTCTTCAAGGCTGAGATGGACGGTGAGACAGACATCCTCAAAACACACACACTCTGGTGTTATTATATGATATAGACAATGACTAAGACAATAAGAACTAGGCGTAGCACACCATATTGCCATTGTGATGTGTTTATGCTTAATATTCATTTTGCAAGACTTTATAACTATTTAGCTGTCTGATACCAAAGGGAATTATCAATGATTATTTGAGCGTTTCCAATTAATAACCTACAGACTCGGCATACCCACCACATTTATTTATTTAATTAACTTTATATAATGTTTCAGCATACCGCCTGTACACTGTCGTGCCTCGCCTGGTCAAGTTTGTGGACATGCTCACCAACTGGTATGTGAGGACCAACAGACGCCGACTGAAGGTGAGAACACAGCTCCGAATCAGTGCCTGTTTAGAGTCAACATTGTTATGTAAGGCAGATGCAAGGTGCAGCTAATGACTCAAATGTATGCAGTCCCAGGATCTGATGAGTCGCATTAATGCAGACGATGCTTCTTTAAAGTTGATGTCCTGTATCTTTAGTTTTTGATGTTGTTTTGTTAAGCTCATACACATAGTTAAAGGGAAAACTGATTTAAGCTACCCCTAAGGCAGATATTTTGTAACTATCAGTTTGTGGCCCTCCTGGTCAAAATGTGGTCTAATTGAATTGGGGATACATGCGCTGATGCGTGCTCAGGCACTTTTATCTATTTAATGTTCCAAGGGGACTGACTCTTTGTGTATGTGCGTGAACTTTGTAGGGAGAGAGTGGCACTGAGGACTGCCTGTGGGCGCTGGAAACCCTCTTCAGTGTTCTGTTCTCCATGTGCAGGCTGATGGTGAGTCATACTGTGTGTGTGTTATGGTTTTGCTTTTCTGTATGCAGAGCACTAAGAAATAATGCTGTTATGGAAGAGGTGTGCTTGCATGGCGATGAATTATGCATGAACAGTAGGAGTTTTTATTTATAACACATTAAAGATGTTTGCATGTTAGGCGAGATGCATGCTAAAAACCAGTTAGCCTAACCCGGATCAATACGGATCAGCTGTTTGCTGCACAAATTAATTAGCCGTGGTTGAAATGGAAGGGAATTACATTAGAAATGAACTTGCTCTGGTAAGGGTGCATGACCTTTTGCATCATTAAGGAAAAAATAAATACAGTAAAAATGTGTTTTTTAGAGCAACAAGGAATGCATATCAAATACAGTACAGAGCATCTAATAATCTTCTCTTTTCCATTTTCTCTTATGTCTACTTACTTCCTTCCCTTCTTACCCTCAGGCTCCTTTCACACCCTTCATTACAGAGATGATGTACCAAAACCTGCGTCACCTCATTGACCCGGCCTCTGTGGAGGAGAAGGACAGCAGCAGCATCCACTATCTCATGCTGCCCCAAGTCAGGTGAGAGAAATCCTCCAACAAAGCAAAAAAGATCGAGTGCTTTATGCCACTTATATTAAAGGTGACATGTCATGCTTTTCCGGTTAGTACCCGTCCCCTTGTGTGTTATGAAGGTTTTTATGCATGTAAACGGTGTGCAGAGTCAAAACCCTCAAAGTACACCATGTAGGGAGTAAAACTCTAAAACAGAAAATACCTCCCCAAAACGCCTCGTTGGAGATACGTCACTGTCCATTTGATTCTTCCGGGGACATCATGATGTCATGTCATCCCCGGAACGAAATGGACCAATCCGTGGAGCCGTTACGTTACGTCCGCGGAGCCGTTACGTTAAGCCCCCGCTGATTGGTCCAAATTGACCAATCCACGGACTTCCTCACACACTCAGTGCAGGCAGCTCTGCTGATTTCTCCTCCCTGGCTGCAGGCTGATAACAGACAGTTGGGATCGTGGCGAAATTCTCTCTGCAGACCCATTCTCACAGCGTTTATCAACCTTTTTCTTACTCAATATCAAGCCACACTTATTGTTGTTACTTCGGCTGTGACTTTGTGTGTGCTCAGGGTGAGTTTGGCTGTGTTTCGCTGGGTATCGCTAAACAAGGAAATCACACCTCCACGGAGCTCAGCGCGATTCACAACGTCCCTACTGGTCCCGACCAATCGGAGCACACTGGGCTCACAGGGAGGGGGGGGCAAGAGCTGCAACGAGCCGTTTAGTGGAGAGAGTGAATACACGTAGTTTACAGAGATGCTGTATGCGAAACCAATGTGAGTTTGGAAAATTGCACAGTATAAATCTATTCTAATAGACCTCAACAATGGAATTATGATCAGTGGAAATGGCCATGACATGTGACCTTTAAAAAGACAAAGGTGGCCTGTGAATTGTTGCTAACAAGTAGCCGAAAGTGGAAATTGTGAAAGTCAAGGGCATATGAGGGGGACAGAGAGTAGAGAACGTCCTCTTCTCACTCACAGAGCTGAGTGTTCGCTCTGCTCCCACGCTCCAGCTCGGATCATTCCTGCTCAACTCAGAGCCTTCACACCAGTACATATTTAATACAGCAGAACATTGCTTGGGATAAAGATATGTTGTACATTCTCATCATGAGCACCTTTTGTAGATACAATAGAGTGATGCAGTGACGAGTCCTAAAACCCGGAAGTGAGTTAGCATTTTACCACTATCGGTTCCCTCGTCTCAGAGCCAATGGGATTTCTCCATAGGACTTTGGAAAATAGCTGGAAATAAGGTCTGTGGTTGACACACATTGAAGAGATGCATCACGTTTTGATCTACGACATTAAATACATCAGCAGTGACCAGTGTTTCCGCCAGACTAGGGCTGAGAGGGCGTCCACCCCGAGAGGAAGGGGGGGGGGGGTGCTTGAATTTTGACTTGAGCCGTCCCTTATTATAGATACTGTCTTTTTACATCAGTGAGCCGGATCATTTGGCTCGGCTCTCTTAAAGCGCCGGCTGTTTCGGCTCCCAAACGGCTCTTCATGTTACCACAGTTTACCACGGAGCCTCAGTTTCGCCGCTGCGAGGCTCCGGCACTCGCAGCTCACGCGCGTGCTCCACTAAAACCCCCCCCGCTCATCGCGTCCAAATCGCGCACGTTCCGTGTTGTCATGTAGCAGGCACCTTCGATGTTGGGGAAACGATCTTCAATACCACGAAAAGAATCCCACCAGACTCCTTTGCCCCTCCAACAGAGGGATGTCCTTGTCCTTTTTCCTTTTCGTCATTTCAAGCGATAAAAACTCGATCTTCTCTCGAATTATTAATATTTTTGGACGCCCTCGGCTCGCGTTCAGGGCGTCCCGAGCTGAATAAGGGCGTCAAATGACGGCAAGACGCCCCCCTGGCGGAAACGCTGGCAGTGACCCCACTGGTGATTTTTGAAGAGTTTACGTGTCTGAAAAACTATGGTTGTCAACAAGTGGCTGAATAGGACTACAGAAGTTGTCGAGGACGTTGTACGTCATTACGCCAAACACTAACACTAACTTTGTTTTCCCCTGTTCTCTTGCAAACTGTTAAAACAAACGCTTCAACTTGTACAATTATCGAATTATAATCGAAAATTATAAAAGTAGTACATGTGGAGATTATCCGGCTGATCAAAACGTGCATTCATCAAATAGATTCGTTGTCCACAGACCTTATTTCGATCTATTTTCCAAAATCCTATCGAGAAATCCCATTGCTTTTTTGTCGATGGAACCCATGTGCAGCTTACTGTTAGTCTACTACAAATAAACACGACGTTTATCTTCTGTTAACTTGGTTTATTCAATCAACGTGCATAACACCAATACAGAGCCATTCACGAACAGTGGACCTCATGCTCCAGGTCGACACAGACTAACTGCACATGCGTTTCACAGTCTCAAGAGGGCAACCTAGACTACCGTAAGGCCAGTAGTATAGGCGCAAAGAGATTACATGTTAACAATCTCATTCTATCTTTTTAAAGAAATAAACAAAACAAAAACAACTTTACATTGCATGAATCATAAAACAATCATACAGTGACTTAAAACAAAACATTTTAAATTCCCTGAGTAGTCAACATAAATTAGGGAAACATTTAAGAAACAAATACATAAACAAAGGTGTTTTCAATGTTCCATTTCAACAGACACTTTAACCCAGATCCCATTGTCCTTCACTGAGTGCTTTTAAGAGCACAAGAGCCGAAGCTCCTTTTTTTGTGAGACAGTCAGCGAGCTGAGATTTTGTGTCTGACCAACGCACCTGCTTGATCCTCTTGCTCTGTATGAGCTCCTTAATGCTACTGATTTCCAACCTGAGTCTCTTCTCTGTGACTTGTTTTGTGGACTTGAGCGCATCGAACAGAGAGTGGTTATCAGTCACACAGAGTACAGGGGGTGCATTCAGTCCAGCATTTCCAGTAGTGAGCTCAGATAGTGTGGCTAGAAAAATTGCATTGTCTACCCCATCTGACATGGCAAGAGTTTCCCCTGCAAGGGTACTGCGAACCACTCGTCTGATTTTCTTTGAATGCCAACAGAGGGGGGAAAACTTCCCTCTTTCTCCCATAAGTGTTATAAAAGTACCTCCCTGTGTACCTCCGTCTGGGAGGTTTCCAAATGAAGCATCACTGAAAACTATCAAGTTCAAAGCATCACTGTTTGAAATCTGATGTTGAAATCTGAGTGTCACCTTTTCAGACTTTAGCTTACGGATTATCTTATTAGCATCATGAACAGACTGTACTGTTGCCCCTTTTATATTCGAAGCCAAACAACATGAATCAAACATTACATCAGGTCTTGTCTGTTTAGCAATCCATAGGATCTGTCCTATTTTTGATCGTAACTGCTCTCTCTCAGTTTCGTTGAGGGGTTCATTTCTCTGTGTGGCCCGACTTGCTTGTATGGGAATAGGCTCCAGGTTCTCGATATAACTTTGTTGATGTACCTGAACTTCACCGTTAACAGTTACCAAATCCATTCCTACATAGGAGAACTTTTCATGCTCCTCACGCCCAACCTTGAATGCATACTGCAGTTGGGGGATCACATTGGATGAAAAGTTTGATGAGCCTGCCCAAAGAAAATCATCTACATGACACGCAAGCACCCCAGTGACCTTACATTGCTCATCCAACCAGTAAAAGACTGCCGGATCCACCTGTGACACTCTACCACCAGTACTCAGCATGATTTCCTTCACTTTGTTGCACCAATATAGTGATGCATCTGCAAGACCATATACACATTTCTTTAGTTTCCATACAACATGTTGACATCCTGCCTCTAGAGGGGGGCGGATATAAATATCCCTGGATAGCTCCATACCCTGCAAGAATGCAGATTTGATGTCCATAGAATGGACTTCCCACTGGTTTTGACATATCACTGATAACATGTCTAAGTGAATCTGTGGCACATGTGGGGGAATCTTTCGGTAACTCTTGAATATTCAGCTCTTCAAAACCTCTGGCAACCAGTCGGGCTTTAGGCACTATACCCTTGGGAGTGTCCTTAAGACTACAAACCCATCTGGTGGAAATGCATTTCTGCCCTGCATCTTCAACTTCCTCAAATACATTATTATTGTGCCAGTTCTTTATTTCTTCCTGTTTAGCTGCATCAAATGAGATGTCTTTGGTTACAAGTACATCAGCTTCTCTGTCTTCTGTTTCAATGTTGAGATTATCAACCTGTGAGATATCAATTGATTCCTTTTGCCCATCACTACCATCATTCTCTAGATGTTGCATGTTATACCAGGTTTTATATTTCCCCGTAGCCTTGCCTGATCTCCCTAAGACTCTTGCTTTAAGTAGAGTATTGTCACCTCTGTTCATATATGTTACAGTCTGTCCTGTTTTTAAACTCACACCTGCAGAAGGAGTGTGAAGCTGACAATTGAGCGGCCCAACCAAGCAAGGAGGCAGAGGCAGAACGTCCAAAAATACAACCCGGTGTGGGCATTTATTAAAACATGAACACATTACACACAGCCTCAATCCTGCTGCTGCTGTTCACGTGAGCCCAGCCTGCAGCCACCAGGATCTCACACACACACTCCCTGCCCCTAACAGACAGGGAAACAGAGCCTAAATACCCACACACACTAATCAGCAACTAGACACAGGTGAGGGGGGAGGAGACAACACAGGGCACCAGGTGCACACAATCCAGCAACAGACATAACGGGAGGGGGAACACTTTTCAAACACAAACATATAACTGAACAGAAGTACACACATACAAACCCAACTAAACGCAGTCAGCACTTGTACAATTAATGCCACTTAACGCTATGATGTCTACACCCCCACATATTATTTGCACCCGGATTATTCTTAACCGCTGTCATTCTACACCAGCATAAGCACTTTCGGAGCTCTCGCTAACTCCCCTATCTTGTCAGGCGGAGCCGAGGACCCGACCAGCACCTGCCAGACGGCATTTCAATTAATACGGTTTAATCCTTTAATAAATACTATCTCAATAATTAGTATTTAAAAGGTGCAAATATGCCATACCAAACGGTACTGTGCAATCACGCTAATAGAGTGCAAAACTGTTCACTAAAGTGCTGAGTTACCAGGCCCGAAGCCGTCAGTTCACAGTGACGAAGTTACCTTTGTCACAAGGAGCAGGATTATTATGGGCATTAGGCCTATGCGCCATTTCAGTTTGTGTTACGCTACTCAAAGTGTTTGGAGGATCGATCGCTTCACTTGTATTGGCTTCCCTGTCACCGAATTGTTGTTCATTCTCTGTATTTTGCTCACTGTCTAAACTACCAGTTGCATTGTTTATACCTTGCTCACTTCCTGCTTCTGTGTCAGCATCATTTTGTACCATTTGCTCTTCATTAACCTTTGTGTTCACCTTGGAAAGCCTAGAGTGATGCACTCTCACTAGGCAACCACCATGCCTCACAAAAACAACAGCCCCATCCTGACCAATAACTATCCCTGGTCCTTTCCACTCAGTGCATTCAGCTCGTTTGTAATACACCTTGTCACCCATCTCATATTTCTCATCTGTGGGTCTGAGCTGCTTACGTAGTGCTCGTCTTATCCTTTCTGAGCATTCTGCTTCAGTAAATGCTTTTCTAGAGGCATGCAAGGCTGAAATGTGCTCCCCTACTCTAGCACTCATAGTGGTACCTTCTAGCGCAGGTGGTTTATCAACCAGTACAGAAGGAAGGTTGGGGTTCTGGCCAAACACCAGTTAATGAGGACTGTAGCCGTGCACATTGAGCATACTGTTCTTAGCCATGAGAGCCCAGTCTAGGGCTGTTTGCCAGTCACATCCATTTTCCCGTCTGACCTTCTGGATGATGTCGGTGAGGGTCTGATTGTGTCTCTCCAGTAGCCCATTGCTCCAGGGGCTGTATCCTGTCGTGGTTTTTGTCTCAATGTTAAAGTTCTCTGCCATGTCACGGAACTCTGCATTGTTGAATTCTCCTCCATTGTCACTGTAAAGTCTCCGTGGTGGGCCGTGGACGCTGATCCATGTATGAAGAAAAGAGTTCACCATCACAGAGGAGTTCTTTGTTTTCACAATGCTTCCAGCGCTGAAACGTGTAAATTGGTCAATGATGTGGAGGTACCATAAACTTGGTTCCAACTCGTGCAGGTCCACTGCCACCGTTTCATTGTACTCTGAAGCCAGAGGCAAGCCCACAGCAGGCTTCGGCTTGGTCTTGCTGTATCTCTGGCATATGTCACATTCCTGTACTATTTGTTGTAAAATAGTGTCCCAATCTTTGTCTTTATTTCCCGAACTGCGGAGGAGTCGCTGTAGTCTTTCTGCGGAGGCGTGACCAAACTGTTTGTGTAGTTTCAGGAGAGCTTTGTGTTTCTCATTTGAGGTCATATTTTCTGTGACTGTAAGGACCTCATCTTCATTCTGGCTGTTTTCTGTGACTGTAAGGACCACATCTTTAATTTCAATTTGATTCATTCCTGTGTCCTTGTCTCTGATATCTATACAGTAGTGTCCTGAACTGGTGAGTTCAAGAGGGATATTCTGTTTAAACATCACAGCTCTATCATTCTCCATGTCCAAGATGGTTCCTGCCCTTTTCAGTGAAGTCTTACTCAGAAGTAGTGGGATATCAGCTTTGACCACTTCAGTTTCCACTCGACATTTTGTCTGTCCTATTTTGGCAGGCAGTTTCAGTATTCTGGAGGAATGCACTATATTTCCATCTCCAAAACGGAATGGTCTGGAGCTTGGAGTTTCACTTTTCACAATCTGGTTCACTTGACTTTGACTGAGATCAGCGACGAAGCTGTCCAACCATTTTTCTCCACACACTGTGCGGGTACATGCAGTGTCAATGATAGCCGTCCCTAAAGACTCAGTTAGGAATACCTCTGATTCAGACAGTGAGGCTTTAGTAAACAGTGTAATGTCACATTCCTCTACCTTTGTTCGATCTTCAGTTAGCTTTACTTGTTCGCTACTCTTGTGAGGACAGTCTTTAGCCCAATGGAACGTGCTCTGACATATAGCACATTTTGATCTCTTACCGAACCTATCTAGTGGGTTGGTACCCTGTGACGGTTGCCTTTGTTGTCCAACTTGTCCAAACTGCTGCGTTGTTGGACGTCTGAATCTTCCTTGTGAGCGTTGCTCTGTGAATAACGCTTCATCGTTAACGTGTATTCCGTTTGATGTGCCGCCTTGCACTCTCCCCCCAAAGATCCTCTTCAGCGCGGACTTCATTGCAGCAAACGTTAAATCTGTACACGCAGTCAGCGCCATTTGTCTATTTTTCTCGTCTAGACAAGCCGTGTCCAAAAGTTTAAAAGCTAGCACGGCGTCAGGAAGAGTCATGTCGTACTTTTTCATTCGGTTGTATCGCTGTTCAAAGTCAATCACATAGTCCGCCATGGACACGGAGCTCTCCTTTTTGATACAGTCAAAAAAAGAGTAAGCATCGTATGCGCAGTCTCTCTCTTCTTTGAGAAACATGCCATCTAGTTTTGCTAGCAGTGTGTCCATACCATTGTTGTTGTTCAAATCCAAAGCGGGTATTTCCATGGAGATGTCCCTTGCCCTTCCTTCCAGCCCCAGGACAACGGCGAGGGCTTGTTTCTTCTTATCAAGTTCAGTAACCAGCTTCCAAATGGCGATTTCATTTTTCCAACACTCGTATGGTCGGGATTCGTCGAACTTCGGTGGAACTTTGTAGTTAGCAGTAGCCATCTTCTGCTAACCATCCTCTGCTACCAATGTTAGTCTACTACAAATAAACACAACGTTTATCTTCTGTTAACTTGGTTTATTCAATCAACGTGCATAACACCAATACAGAGCCATTCACGAACAGTGGACCTCATGCTCCAGGTCGACACAGACTAACTGCGCATGCGTTTCACAGTCTCAAGAGGGCAACCTAGACTACCGTAAGGCCAGTAGTATAGGCGCAAAGAGATTACATGTTAACACTTACTTCCGGGTGAATACGTCATCCCTGCACCACTCTGTGTAGATCACATGTAATGGAAAACCGAGGTGATGTGGTTTAAAAGCTCCCGCTCCTTCCCGCTCCTCACACGGTAAACCCCCCTTTGTGTTAGCGCCTTTCCTCACAGGATATCCATTACTGGTTCAGAGCCTAATCCGTTTCAGCCAGAGTGCATGGCCTTACTTTACCCCAATTTGATCACACTGAATTCCTCAAAGAGTAGAACATGTTGAAGCTGCAGAGTCCACAGCAGTGGTTTCTAGATAACGGCAGGCTTCACCATTTATTCCCTTTAACACCTGCTGTTCACTGCTCTCTGTGTTGTCAGTTTATACTATACCCTTCTTATCAAAGGTTCCATTTTAATATGTATGACCATACCTGTCCTTTTATATGATTGATTGGTTCTGTAGATAGAGATTAGAGTCGTTTCTGAGCAGATTTTCTGTTCATGTGTCAAAAAGATGGCTCTTTTTTCCAAAGCAATACGGAATTGGTTCAAAGCAAGAAGACATACGTGAAAAATACATTGAAATCTTTGTGCACATCCTCTCAAGTTTTTTCCAAAAAGCAGCTTAGCCCTATTTGTATTTTTGGCATAGAACTGTCGATACCTTCTTTTAGAGCGTCACAGGTGATGTAGGGAACAGTTTGTGCTTCATTAGAGCAGAAATATACACAGCAGTGCACAGGTCTTTCCTTTTTCAGCCCTGCAAATAGATCTTGTTCTCAAATATGATTCACTTTAATTACTTCAGTAAAATGTGTACCTTGGTGGCTGATCAGTTCTCTATAATGCCTGAGAGGAATTTCTAATTGCCCAAACTTAATTGCATCATCTTTAACTAAAACACAAGTTCTGACATGATTAAACATCCATTTGATTTAGCGTAAGGAAAATAGTTTATGTAATGGTTCATATAATTCCCCCTGTCACTTTGGCAGCGCTCGGTGCTGCGGCTTTATTAGCCGCCTGTCCTTCCTGCTGCCGAATGGGACTACTTCACCCCCCCTCCCAAAGGTCAGCCACCAATCAAGCGGAGGAAGAGCTGCTCCTCAATCAGCTCATTAAATGATTGGCTCTCCCTGGAGTCCTCTCCTCTCTCATTTGACTGCACTGTTGTGTGCACACATGGAGAAGCAGACTGCTGGAGTAAAAGAATGAGCGTAGAGCACGTACACACACACACAGTCTGTGTTCCTGCACACTGTTGGGGCTAATATAGCTATTATGCGTGATTATCAGTGGCTGTGCAGCTCTAATTTGAATTCAGAGGTGGAGGTCTCATTGTACCTTATTAGTGGATGCTCCGGAGTTAAGCCGGGGGTTCTGAACTCTGTCTTTATTTAGATGAACCTTGTAACCTTCTATTATACATTTACCTCAACAGAATAGCAATTTTAATTTCTAAACCCCTGAAAACCACTGGGGTGTCCACTGCCTGTGAGTTATTGCAGATGTGCACCTACATTCCCTAACAGTGCCCTGAAAGTGTACTATTTTCTCAGAATACAAAGTCATTTTCATTTGAAGATCGGTTAGTTTGAAAGAGGTTGGTCTCATTCCCCTTCATCAACATATTATAACAAGGCAGCTCGGTCAGATGACACCAACTGGTTATAGTTTTGGATAAAACGTGTTTTCTCCTTCATGTTCAACCTGCAGAATTAAGAGCATATTCAAATGCTCATACCCAGGCATTTTAACACTACTTAGTTTTCAGCCATTGTCAGATTTACATGTTTTCATCTCTGTTTCTCAGGGAGAGTGTGATTGACAAGCGCATTGAGAGTGCCGTCTGTCAGATGCAGTCTGTGATCGAGCTGGGCCGAGTGATCCGGGACAGGAGGACCCTTCCCGTTAAGGTAAATCATTAACCTTATTCAAACCCTTACACATACAATCCAGTGTAAAAGGTGGGGTTAATTAAAACTCTTGTGTTTTTGTTTAACACAAAAGAGTGTACATTTCATATCTATGAAATAACCAACACATTACTTTCTTAGTGGATCCCTGTAAAAAATGATTGTTATATATTTATGTAAAACAGATTAAAAAAAGCTTTGAATATATTCCTTTGAGTCGTTTCTGGCTTGCAACTATCAATGTTAGTAGCCATTGTTAGCTTAAAAACTGCAGTCAAAACCTTATATAGATTGAAGTGTATCTGGATGTGTCGGTTTTTATTACAACGACCCTATTTGTGTGTCTTGGTGCTGCAGTTATTGACCCGCAGTAACACTGGTGTGTATTTCAGTACCCATTAAAGGAGGTGGTGGTTATCCACCAGGACCCAGAGGCTTTGAAAGACATCCAGTCCCTGCAGAAATACATCCTGGAAGTAAGTAAACCAAGGACACTTTTTGTCATGTATATTCTGTGATCATTTATCTGGTCTTGAGTCGCCTTGGTATCACAGTGTAATTTCACCAGTGTTCTGCTTCACCGCAAGAAGTGCATTTTCTTCTCATCTTCCCTTTAAGTGTTTTTATTTTCGTCTGTTGACTGTGCTTTGATCTAGTTAAAAAGAAACCTCTCCTAGAACCTTGTTGACATTAAAAAGCCAGTGTACTTGACAGAGGGGATGTACAACAGAGAGAGCATATCTTCACACAGCGTTTGTATCTTCAGCTGTAATTGAAATGTCTGTGCTTGGTTTAATTTAAAAGGGGGTGGAGCAGATGCCTCGGAAAATGTTCTCACATTTGATCTACTTCAATTGCCACACATTCTAACTCTTGATCAAATATGAAATGCAGACACAAGCAGCACATGGGAACTCTATATTACTGTTAATGTGTCAGTCATTTGAGGCATTTAAGTGCACGCCACTTTTCTAGTTCTCTTTTCACAAACAGAGGCATACAGTGTTTATTTTTTCTATATTAAAATAGTTTTTATAAAAACAAGAAATAGGTTTCAACGATGTCAAATGCACTTTCTGTAACATTTAAGACTTAATCAGTGTGTAATTATGCACCAAAAAGTGAAAATGATTTACAAAAGAGTGACGAGTGCTGTCCGAAAGACTGGAAAAATGTCTTCTCAGGCAGACTAATTGTTATAGCCTTTCAGTGCAGGAAGCCATTAAACTGACAATATCCCTTTGTCTTTGGCTTTGATTTTCCACCAACAAAGCTAAAGAAGTCAATGCTCTTCCACAGATAACCCCACTACTCTCTTAAGTAAGGATGTGCAAACCTTTTTGATGCTTTGCCTGGAAATGTAGCTACCTTTGTTCTTTCTGAAGCCAAGTGAAGTCTAAATAGGTCCCAAGCTGAGGAATTACTAATGAATTTTAGATGGAAAATTGATTATTTCTCTTGTTCCCATATGTTGCTGACCAGGAACGTCGACAGAACATATAGAGATTAAGGATTGGGTGCGAAAATGGCTTCTGGTGCAACCTTCTGTTGGATCCTGCAAGATTAATCATAGTCGAGCCACTTCTTATCTCTCACTCTGTTTCATTTCTGGTGAGGAAAACATTTAACCTTGCCGGCTTCTAGCTACTCTCCAGTGAACAAGGTTTATTTGACCAGAATAGAGAGCAGTTTAAGGTCCTGCTGCCCAGGGAAGAACCTTCAAACTCTCTTACTGTTGATGTCGTTTAAGTTGAGCTGACCATTTCAAGTAGGTGAAGTCTGGATTCAAGCTTTCACGGTGGCTTTTAGTTAGATCATGTTATTATTATTCTATTATTATTACCGGCAGTGGCTCAGTTGTCCGGCAGTGGGAGCCGTAGGGTCGCCAGTTCAAGTCCCTGAACAGACTTAAAATATGGAGTGTGGACTGCTACTTGGAGAGGTCCTAGTTCACCTCCTGGGCCCTGCCGTGGTGCCCTTGAGCAAGGCACCGGACCACCTCCCATTGCTCCCCGGGCGCTGTACAATAGCTGCCCACTGCTCTTACTACTAAGATGGGTTAAATGCAGAGAACACATTTCACTGTGGGTGTTTCTCAATGTCAAGGAAGGATGCTCCAGAGCCACTATTTCAAGGATGCTACGTCATCGACTCCTGCCGAAGGACTGTTCCAATGTCCAGGCTCCTTGTAATTCTACCGAGCCCGGCGTCCTTCGTAGCGAGAAATTTCGAGGCTGCACATGTGTATCCTCCGCGGTCTTAAAATCCCCACAATGCTTTGCGCACGGATCAATTTCCAAAATCTGTGGCGGAAAATGTAAGGCGGGGCCTCTCATATGACGCACACCTGCACACTTGCTAGCCTGTTCCATTCTTCGTTCTCCGAATGCCAGGAAGGATTCTTGCCTAGCTTCTGAAGGACCTGACTCGGAAGACTTGTCCTACCAAGGAAGCGTCCTCGACATTGAGAAACACCCTCTGTGTGCTCTGCATGTGTGACCATTAAAGAGGGTTTCATCCCTCCAATTTTATCTATCTTCATAAATTATTACCGCTTATTTTTGCTTCAATGTGCACCAAGTGGGCATCTACTGTTGTTGTCTGCTGGCTCTCTGACTGGTTGATTTCACGGCTGACTTGCTCTCTGAGTGAATTCGACTTTTGATTGTCCCTTCACAGCACATGTCTGAAGCAATTACAGTTTTTATTTTGATCCTACAGGACGTAACTGAGCACTACGGCTAGCTCAACTTGTAAAGAGTAGTGGATACCATTAGCATTTATTTCATTGGTTTGACCACTTTAATGGCCAGTGCTGAAGTTGTAAGATACAAAAAGAAGATACATCAACTTGGCATTTCAAACCAAGCAGCAGCAAATCCTTAATGCTGCCGTTTACATTTTTATTGTCTATTTCTTGAGGCAAAACATGAATTTGACAAATTCTCTCACATTTGAAGGGAAACAAGTAGATTAGACACAAAATGGGATTAGCAGTTAGTGGTCAATGACCGTTTACATTTTAGCTTTGGTCAACTCTTCTTTACGGACAAGCGTTTTGATGACTTCACTGTCAGCTGAGCACAAGATGTTCATTGGGAATATCAAATGAATGTCTGTTTTATATGACAGCAGCGTGTATATAATGTAATGTACAAACATCTCTACTATGCAAACAAAGACATATATGCCTCCAAGATATAAATGGTTCTTTTTGTTCACCTTTGCATTGATTCACTCCTATTTTCACTAACCAAGCTCAGCTCTAACCCGAGGTTGAAAGAACGGTTTCGAGCCCACTCTGCCCTGAAGTGTATTATTGAGTCCTTTTCTGGGGCTTAGCTGTGCTCTCTGTCAGCGAGTCAACTAAGCTAAAACTCAGTGGCACGCTTCAGTTTGGTTGACTTAGAGAAGCTGTGCACGGCCGGCCAGCGTGAGCGTCAGTATTTTGGATAACTTTAGTATGTCTAAAGCGTCCCCAACGGCTCACAGACTTCTATCTCCATTTAGATTGAAAAATGAATCGTACTGGAGTGAAGTATTGACTGAATAGAAGGAACAGCTTACAGACTTACTGTTTGATTTCATAGAGTGAATGACTCTGTAATCAATTATCGATTGGGTCTTTACAGTACATGCCCAGGGTATTTAAAGTGTTGATTACTTATGTTTAATCTTATTTTTTCTGTTTAGTTTGAATTTAGTTTTCCATTAAGTTCAGTTTTGAGTTAATGTTCAATATAGATGAACAGTTTAATAAATGCAAGCAGTTTTATTGTAACTAATTGCATTTGGTTGGGGTGGACATATGTGGGTGCAGGAAGAGCTAAGTAAAGTTTTAAACTGGACAAATGCTGTCAGATCCCTTAACTTTCACGCTGATGCCAGGAAAGCTTTGTCCATAAGCATAAAATACCCAGAGGCTTATAAGTACTTGTATGCATCATTTATTTCCCTTTTAGTTGTGCAATGCACATTACAGTTTCAGTTTAGTTAATTTGTTTCAATTATTTTTTAATACTTTTGTTCATGTTTGTATATACAATAATAGCCCAGTTAACTACTACCCATTGGTATATTTGGGCTTGTCACACAGGAAACAACAACACTGATTTACCTTTTCTAAGACATAAGTTGTATTTTTCCCTCTAGGAGCTTAATGTCCGACAGTTGACGCTGTCTACGGACAAAGACAAGTACGGCATCCGTCTGAGAGCCGAGCCCGACCACATGGTGCTGGGCAAGAGACTGAAGGCGGCCTTCAAATCCATCACCGCCTCTATCAAAGAGCTCAGCAACGAACAGCTGGAGGCCTTCCAGAAGACAGGTATGGCTGTGTGCTCAAAAAAAAACAAAACGTGATCTCATATCTTAAGAATCACATTTGGGGGTGCAAAGGGAAGTCCCCGAGCCGTCGGCACCCTAGTGTATTTAACTGGTTTGTATTAACATGAGACAAAACTGCATATATTATCTTCATAATTGAAAACCTACAATTATTTTTGTGTAATAATTCTTCATCAATTACTTACAAAAAAAGGAACCATTAGTTGAATATTTGTCAACCAAACAATAAATGAGTAAAGAGTAGTAGGTGAATGTTAGGATATTACACACAATTATACATTACATTACATTACATGTTACTTGTTAGACGCTTTTATCCAAATATATACATACTCAATACTGTGGGCAATCCCCACAGGAGCAATTTGGGGTGAAGTGTCTTGCCCAGGGACACAACGACATGCTGACCGCAGTGGGGTTTGAACCTGTGACCTCCTGATCCGAATACCAACTCACATCCCACTGCACCACACGCCTCCCATACAAAATTGTGTTGACATCGTATATATTATTTCTAGGGCTGTCAGTCGATTAAAATATGTAATAGCGATTAATCGCATGACGTCCATAGTTAATCGCGATTAATCGCACATTTTTGATCTGTTCTAAATGTACCTAAGAGGAATATTTTTCAAGTTTTTAATACTCTTGTCAACATATGAGTGGACAAATATGCTTTATGCAAATGTTTGTTTATTATCATTTGAACAATGACAAATATTCTGCTGAATATTCTCAACACAACAACCTGGAACCTCTCTCTCTCTTAAACTCTCTCCCAACCCTGTGTACTTCTTTGCACTGAGCCAGTTGCTCAAACAGACAAGCCTGTTTACAGTTGTCGGCGAAATGCCGCTCCTTTGTCTTCATCTTCAGTCAAAGCATGAGACTGAAGTTCCCACTGTGGGTCAAAATAATGCGCTGTGATGTGCAGTCGACACGTTGGATGCGATCCGAATGATCTAACGCAGCCCCTCGTCCTCCACAATGTTAAGCTGTAGCCACCCATTTAGCTATCGCTGTTGTTGTCCAGGCGAACTTTCAAGCGTGGTCTGCCGCAAGCGAGCGGCAGGAGCGGGGCTGTCAGCTTCAGCTGGGTGCTTGGCTTGCTGTTTAAAACACATTTTTTTGTATCCATATCTCGCTAGAATCTCCCACCATCCAACTAACAACAACAACATCAAGCCTTTGGGCTCTAAAACTACGGGGCGGGCAGAGGACAAATACACATGCGTTAATCGCACGTTAAAACATTTTTTTTGTTATTAACGTTTTAACTTGACAGCCCTAATTATTTCACTAGGAATCCTTGCATTGAGGTCTGGACACAGACAGTCGGGCAGTTTATCGTCAGAAAGCAAACCCTAACCCTTTTGAAACTGTAATCAGAGCTGGAGTACGGATCAAAGCAGTGCAAGGTATCCTGTCTCTCCAATTATAGAGAGACGAGGAGAGCCCCCAGAGTCTCGGGGGAAGGAAGCAGTGGAGGTCAGCTGGGCTGTGGGAACTTAACATTTCCAATTTGACTTCCAGTTTGAAGTCTAGCCAATTGGAAGGGAAAAAGGAGGATGAGCGAGAAGGAAAGACATAGTTGTGGTGGAGGATGGTGAAAAGAGATGGAGAGTGTAGGGAAACTACTGCTGTGGAACCAAGTAGCATTACACTGACTCAGGTTCACAGGAGAGATGGGATGTTTGAGTGCACAAAACCTCCTTTTTAAGATGCTAAACTGTATTATTTATGTTGGATCAAAGGTATGGAGCTTGCTGGAAGTTTGACTATTTGAGCAAAAAGAATGGAAGCAGGGGAAAAAGACTAGTCTTGCTCTATCCGATGGTAAAAATTATCATACATATGGGAAAAAAATCTGGTAACTGGTCAGTCATCCACCCATGGAAAAGCTCACACTCACTTTTAACCTTTTGTGCCATTTCTAGCTGAGAATCTGTGACACAAAAAAAACCTTTTAGACTAGAGGGGGCAATTTGGCTAGCAACTGATTGTGTGTTCAAGGCCATTTGTTGTATTGCCCATTATTCCTTAGCAGTACCTTTTGATCCCATCATTTTGATGGGCAGAAGAAAAAGAGGTTAAGAAAGAAGGTGGAGAAGAGCAGGGAAGCAGGGAAGGACACAGGAAACCAAAGCATGGAAATAAAAGATTAGAGAGAAAAAGGAGTGACTGTTTCACCCAGCCTCTGGGGGTAGAGAAGTGAGGTGGATTGGAGAAAACGGTCACGATTCTTAGTCAAAACACAGATGTGAGTAATTGCTGCCACTGCCAAAATGATTTTAAACCTGACTACAATGGGTTTGATGTAATGTTTAAAAGTTCAGATCATGAGTGGATCTGGCCGGATGACTGAAATGTAAGGAATCACAGCATGCGAGCAAATACTGATCCAATCCATAGCTCATTCAAAAATAAAGCCTCGGCCTGCATGTTGTTAGGAGAGCACTTAATTCAGTTTGATTGGCTGTAATTGAAACCATTTCTAGAATTCTTCTAAAGAGACAAACACCAAAATAAAGACTAATTTCACACAATCAGTTGGCAATTTATTCAAATATAAATAGGAGAATTGTGGGACACTAAGTAGTTTATCATTACATTTGCATTAATGTCTGTTGTCAGCATTGATTCAATTATAATGGCAATCAATATAAACTATTTTGGATGCCTTTTCATCCTCTTGAATGATTGATTTTCTGGGATAAGACTGGTCTGGTGATATTATAGATTTTAACAGGAAAACGTCTGAAAAGGGTTTTACTTGTCTAGTTGAATTTCTATGCTAATTTCCAATTTAATTATTAAGTATTAAAGTAAATAGGGCTGTGGGCAATCTTTCTAATGATCAATTAGAAAGATTGCCCACAGCCCTATTCACTTTAATTTCTAGATTATCCTTTTTGTTTATATTTGAGAAACATGTCCATCCCAAGTCATAAGTGATGTTTTTTAATGCATTGTTTCATTAGCCCAACACCCAAAGATATTCACATAAATATGGTATATAAATGAAAAAAGCAAGTTATCCACATTGTACCAGGGCTAAAACAATCATTGTTACTTGTCTTTTTAGCTATTATTGCATGAAACATAACTATTAGTTTATCAAAACAAGTAGGTATTTTGAGGAATAGACTTGATGCAGGGAGTGATCTGAAAAACATAATAGTGTTATCATTGTTATTAAACATCCAACTGACTTTGTATTTATTTATTTGTTATTGCATTTTCAGTACCATAACTTTGGATTTGCACATTTTAAAATTTTGGTTTTTAATTTGAAGGATCCATCACGGTGGACGGCCATGAGCTTCATGAGGACGATCTGAGGCTCATGTACACCTTCGACCAGAGCTCTGGCTCCGCAACACAGTATGAAGCGCACTCTGATGCACAGGTACGCTCTATGTTCCAAAATACATTTGATTTCTCATTTTAGATGTATTATTTGACTTCAATGAACTTAAAGAAACAATGACCTCATATGGTGCATTATAACAACCTGTAATGAATCCTAGTCAGTGAGGGACTGGCAATTATGAAGTATTATGATACTTGATCTTATAATTCATTATGAAATGGTTAAAATGTATTATTATTGTCATAATGCATCATGAGTACTTATGTGTGCTTATAACAATGATTATACAGTGGTATCAGCAGGTTATAATGCATTATGAAAATCGGCATCCGTGATTATGTATCGTATCGTGACTCTTGTGGACCAATCATGTATTTTTATTATCCAGAAACTGGTTATGGAAAATGTGTAAATGTTATTTGTTAACACCCATGAAAAGGTTTAGAAATACACACACACACACACACACACACACACACACACACACACACACACACACACACACACACACACACACACACACACACACACACACACACACACACACACACACAGTACATACCCCCTTTCTCTTTACTGCTACAATACTATTGAATGGATCTGGCTGCAAAGTGTAATGTAACCTGATCTGCTGCTCCTGCACTAAGCTGCCATATACTGTAAATGCATTTATATGTCTTTACTGTGAGTGTGATGTATGAAATCATTTCACGACTAAGTGGAAACCAGCATGTATGCGTTTCCCAGAGGCTCTTTCTCGAATCAGTGCTCCTCCAACCGTATACACACCACACGGCTGCACCTTAATACCAGTTTACTGAGCTGGCGTTTTAATTCTCGCTCGCTCGCACCGACCTCCCAGCTCCCATCTGTCTGCCTCTCTGTTCTTTCTCTTTCTATTCATTTAGCTTTTTGTGTACTTTACTCTGTCGCCCTGTCATCTCCCTCCCTTCCTCCCAAGGTGAAGTGTTTGAGGCTGGCAGCAGCCTTACACAACGTGACACTCATTTTACTTTAGTGACTCACACAGTACAATATTGTCGCTATTTCTGCCGGGTTGTTTCTTCATCACTTTTAACTTTGAACAAAAAGTCTAAGATAGATTCATTGCTCTGTGGATTTTACCCTCTTTTCAAATAAATAGTTTGTAGCCTGTCACTGAGGGAGTTTGGTTACTCATAAGGGAACATTCTGTCACTATCTGCTAGCGTTCTGTCAGATACATATTGCAATATATGTGCAGTAAGAGCACACTGTCTGTTGTTACAGTAACTGAAAGGTTAAACCTTAACTTTATCATTCTGGCTTTGAGGTCAACAGGCTATTTTTCCCAACTTAAAATGGACTAATGTTCAAGCTTAGCTGGTTAAAAAAATCAAACAATATTCAAACATCTTGATAAAAGTATACCTCAGTATTATACATTTCAATTCGCCCAAATATTAGAACTTAATGTCGGAATTGTGGGCAATTGTGCTCAAATAAAAAATCTATCCTCCTGGATGCACACACTTATTTGTTGGAACCCTTTTATTGTAAATATTTTGCTAGTCGTCAGGAATCCATACATTTGGTATTTAAACATTGTTATGTAAATGAGAACATGCAGGATATGACCTTCAAATATGAGCGTATGACATGTTGATTAAGGCAGGTACATTTAAGACCCACTCCCCTCCTCAAAAAAAAAAAAACTTTGAATGGGTGATAACCATATATACAGTCTATGGTAATAACAGGTTAAATGAAAAAAACAAAAGTTTTCTAAGACTGTGATGACTTTTGGGATCAGTTAAATGTTTTGCTAAGACCCTCCTTTTTTCTTTCAGGTCCTGGTGCTGCTGGACGTCAGCCCCGACCAATCCATGATGGATGAAGGCGTCGCCCGTGAGGTCATCAACCGCATTCAGAAACTACGCAAGAAGGTGGGACGATTATTTCAGGAGCACTACTAGCTCTGGAAACTAGGGTGACACATAACACACTAATAGTGAATTTTACAATCTAGTGTCTAATGAATAAAATATGACGTATTAGAAACTGTCTGTCAACACGTGTAATCAGAGCTGAGGCAGCTTAAGGAGTGCTGCACGGTGAGGAAGACAGTTAAATTGACTGGGTGCAAGAAGCATTTAGGAGCATCAGGGCTGTAAACACTTCTGACACAAACTGTGTGGTATTTTTAAGTATGATGACAACCTGCACATCCTCTAATGGAATATTTGTATGGCACTGCATACTATTAATAATTAGAACCAAATATTATATAGCTCTGGTCAAAAATACTTGAACCTTTTCAGGAGGTTTACCTTGTTTACTCTGAATACATTTCTCCCGATATAATATAAAAGTAACCTTATGCCTCAATTATTTTCAGTGGCCCTTATCCTAATGCTTCCTAATCCCTACCACACACTCCTAACTCCCCGTATGTTTTGTCATCAACAACATGCAAACCCAGCATAGTATATGTTTTGTGATGTGTTATTTAGTTTCATTTCCCTCCCTTTGGGCACCCCGTGCTGCCCCCTTCCTCTTTATGTCCCATGCTAATTTTGTCAGGGCAGTTTTGAAATCTTTCCACTTCAGCGTCACAGTTAGAAGTTTCTCCATCATAAGGCAGGCTTAATGGAAGCTTAATTACAGTCTGGCCCCTTTCAGATTCTAATGTTGGAGCTTTGAAGTGGTCTTGGGAGTAAAGACGGATTAGCCCCTTGTTTTCACAAGCAACAAACAGTTTTTTCCGTCCCCCTATAGCAGTGGTGCGCACTGGCTCCCAGCCAGGCTAAATTCCTCCAGTTATTTCAAACTGAGATAGGAATTTTCCACCCTGGGGATTGGAATTATTTTAAAACAATTCTACCACATGTTTGGTAGTAGTTTGAGGGTTTGTCAGTGTTTTTGTCGGTATTTGTGTGTAAGCATTTTGTTTTTGAGGTGTTGGCAAACTGTAGATGACACACACACTCACACACACACACACACTCACTCACTCACTCACTCACTCACTCACTCACACACACACACACACACACACACACACACACACACACACACACACACACACACACACACACACACACACACACTCACACACACCCACCCCTTCAGGGTAGGGTCAGTACCTTGACTTGGCAGGAAAAGCCTATAAACCTTCCTCCATTGATTGACTGCTCCTCTGTATCTAGCTAACGTTACTCCTCCGCCCTTGAGCCACATACTGCAATTGGAGTGTGTGCATGTTCGTGTGTACTTTACAGTCAATACCATTTGTGTGTACGGCTGTGCACACTGCAGATTAGGATGAGATCAATGTGTTTGAATGTGTCAAGGTTAGAGGAAGCTGTCAGCACACATTGCCAAAATAGAATGGCATTCATCCATTAGAAAATCTCCCCTTGTTCCCTTCTGCCTTTATTTCTTCCTACACTGTCTGTTTTTTACTTTTTAATCTCCCGCTCTCTTCTTTATGTCGGCCTTTCTATCATTTTTTACCCATCCCCCTTACATCCTTCTTTCAGGTAATTGTTAACATCATTTTCAGATTCTGAATAATGCTTAGTTAAGTATTTGTTTTCAGTTTAAAACCAACTACCTGTGTCTAAATCCTTTGAATTACAGGGTCATTTGGTGCCTTCCGATGAAATAACTGTGTACTACCGCTGCCAGCCAGAGGGGCAGTACCTGGGCTCTGTGATCCAGGCGCACACTGACTTCATCCTGGCCACCACCAAGGCTCCCATGATGCCCTTCCCGGTCCCTAAGAATGCCACTGTCATTATAGAAGAAAAGACTCAGGTATAAGGACACAGCCGGTTTTAAAGCACAACACTTTGGTGTGGAGTTGATTGATTATTATGCCCAAATTGTCAATTTAATCTCATGTTGACAATGTCCCTCTTTGTAATCCCTGTGTAACTATTAACTGAATGTATTTGTTGTACAAGTACCTCTTTTTTGGTTTAAATAACAAAGAATGTCAGTATGTTTTGGTCATGCTCTTGTATTTGTATTGCAGCTGAAGGGATCAGACCTGGAGTTAACCATAGTGAAGGGTTCTTCAGCCCCTCACGCTCCTCTAAATGGACCAGCTTGCAGCTACGTGAACATCAGGGTGAAGGTCAACAACAAAGAACAAGGTAAAGCGAAAAATACAATCAGTTTTTCCAGCCAGAAATGTTTTTAAAGAATATGTATGTAATGTTAAAGTGTTGCTATGTTGCTAATCATGTCTGCCTGGTTTCCTGTTCAGAGGGGGTGGTGCTGTTGGAGAACCCCAAAGGGGATAACAGACAAGACTTGGACAAGCTGAAGAAAGTGTGCAGCAGCATCTTTGGAACCAATAACACCCAGCTCAGATTCTTCAATAGTGGCACTGGTAAGGACTGGGTTTGGCCATAACTGCAGCGAATCACTGTTATGGTCAGGGCTGCACATAACTGGTGCGCAGGTGCGCATGCGCAACTCCGCCAAAAAAAGAGCACCGGGTCATTTGAAACAAAGCGCATTTGCGTACCAACATTGAGAGAGGGAGAGAGAGAAGGGAAAAGAGAAAATAGAGGAGAGATGAGAGAGAGAGAAGAGAGAGAGAGAGAGAAAGATATTTGCGAGTTGCATACATGTATGAACCATGATATGAACTCAGGGTCGGCCCGTAGCACTGGCTAGATGTTCGCCTAGGGCGCCAGATCTGTGGAGGCGCTGCGCTGGCAGTTCTGGGAGGGAAGAAAACATTTTGACCGTTGGGGCTCATCCTAATTTTCGGCCTTGATGTAACAATATTCATAATTAAGTAAATGTAACACCCTTTTCACCCCGGTTACACGTTTCATTTGCCCTGTACGATGGGCGCTGTAAGTGATGAAAATGGGGGATGTTGGCTTATCTGGCGCCCGCAGCTCACAGCCAAAATGCGAGTGAGCGAGGGAGAGAAGGAGGGTGCACCGGTACCAGCGCTGTTGTTATTAGAATCTGGTGCCGTGCTAGCTGCTCTAACGGATATAAGAAGAAGATGTGTCTACAATAATGTGGAGGGAGAGTCCTCTCCAGTCAGACTGAGAGGCTGATAACTACAGCTCAGTGAGGTAAGGACTCTGAGTGTTTAGATAGTTCACTTTAGTCTAAGTTCAAACGGTTTGATCACAATTTATGTAAACACATATTTCCAAGGCACTCCTTTATAATTATTGGGATAAACAGGTTTTAAATCATTCCAATGTATACTATAGGACAGTAACCAAAAATATCCTTTAAAACTGGAGAGATAAAAAAAATGCATAAATAAATGTTAAGGTAAAATAAGATATGAATGAACAACACAAATAAAATAAGTTACATTCATTTGTTATTGGCTATGGTAGGTTATTGGTTATGTTCACATACTTATTTGATTACATCCACTTGTCTAAGATGACAACAGAGACTTTCGACCCAAACCCAGCTGTTGACTTGTGGATGCAAGCAGCTAATCGCAGACTCAACCAGAGAGAAAGTAGTAGGCCTACATCATCAGCTACCATGTCTGACAGAGAGGAAGACAGTGAGGAGAACAGTCAGGAGGGTAGTGATGACAGCTTGTAGGATTACTGCTCGTGCTAATGTTGTCTTGTGTTCACCTCTGCATGTGTGTTCTGTGTTCACCTCTGCATGTGTGTTCAGTGCCGTGTGTCTGGCAAATAAAGTCAAGACCCCTCAAAAGTTACGGTTTATTTCATTTTAAGGATGAGCACCAAGCAACATCTCCAGGTGCTCCTTTGAGAACCAGGGCAAAAAAGTTATGTGCACCCCTGGTTATGGTAGTAACACCTGCCATGTCATATTACTGCTGACGAAATGTAGCAAAAATGTTTTCAATAATAGTTTATCAAAAAATGTAAAACTAAATACTTAAAGGTGGGGTAGGTAATTTTGGAGAAACCAGCTCGAGTGCGCTAGAATTTGAAAATACACAACCGGAAAAATCTGCCACTTCCTCACAGAGCCCCTCCTCCAACACACACAAACGCGCACATGACCAATGAGGACACGAGATAAGTTTGTGCACAGATGGAAGGCTGACAGGCAGGTAGGCCATCCAGTTGGCTCAGATGATTGGTCGTGCTTTTTACAGTACTACGGCTTCCACAGATGACATTATTTTATGGATTTTGTGTCAAAGCACTTAAGATATTCATTGCTATCGGGATGTTAAGAGCATTCCATGGAATATAACAAAAAGTGTATCTCGAGCCGGTTTCTCAAACTTACCTAGGCAAGGCAAGGCAAGTTTATTTATATAGAACTTTTCAACACAAGGCAATTCAAAGTGCTTTACAAAAAATGAAAGGCATTTAAAATCAGTCATTAAAAAGAAAAGCTAATAAAATAAACATTAAAAGAAAAAATACATGGATAACAGTTTCAGTGCAGTCTAAGATATGAATAGTTCAATTAAAAGCAGCGACAAAAAGAAAAGTCTTCAGCCTGGATTTAAAAGTAGTCAGAGTTGCAGCGGACCTGCAGGTTTCTGGGAGTTTGTTCCAGATATTTGGAGCATAATAACTGAACGCTGCTTTACGATGTTTAGTTCTGACTCTGGGGACAGAAAGCTGACCAGTCCCTGAAGACCTGAGAGATCTGGATGGTTCATAATTTAGCAGGAGGTCAGAAATGTATTTTGGGCCTAAACCATTCAGTGCTTTATAAACCAGCAGCAGTATTTTGAAATCTATTCTTTGACACACAGGAAGCCAATGTAAAGACTTCAGAACAGGAGTGATGTGATCCACTTTCTTAGTGTTAGTGAGGACTCGAGCAGCAGCGTTCTGAATCAGCTGCCCCTACCCCACCTTTAACTAAATATGTAAAACTCTGAGTTAAACACTTTTATGAAGTAATGAATTAATGAATGTAAAGCGTTGTGCTTTTTTCTGTATCATTTCATTAAAACGTTATGTATTTTTATTACTACTTTTCCCACTCACTTTTGGAATTTTCCTAATGCCTATATATTAATAACATGGTATGTGATAATAAGAGCAATAATTCATCCAGTGTTTGTGTGTGTAACTGGACTCCTGGGCCAGCTAGCTTAATCGACAACACTACCTATTAAAACTGAGCACCTTCTTTCCAGCTAGCCAAATCGCTAACTTTTGTAGTTAAAAAAGAGCAGCCATTGAAGTTAATGTAAATCCAGATACTGCACTGCAGACTAGTGTAGCATTAACATCTATGTGACAGTAGGTAAAGTGTTTAAGCTGTCAAGCTAATCACCACCATTTGTTTTTTATTACAGAGTTGACGAGCAAAATAGACCTTCAGGCGTTGAGCGGTAAAACTTTGTCAGTGACAACAGGCTCCGCCCCTGGCCCCGCCCCCACCACTGACTCCCTCCTCTGTCCTTACATCAACCTCCTGCTCTGCAATGCACAACCAGCTGGTGAGAAACACACACACACACACACACACACACACACACACACACACACACACACACACACACACACACACACACACACAGAGCCATGCACAACTGATGAGTCAGTCCTTGTCGTTGTTATAAGGCTGCCATTAATCTTTTTTAATTATAATGAATAAATCCCACGGAGAGACTAAAACTTAGAATGAAATTATACAGATAAGTTTTGTCTCTGAAGTCAAAGCTTTATTTTAACTCGCTGTAGGCAGCATCGTATCATAGATCAGACCCTTTCTTTGTTTTGGACACACTAAAAACAATCTGACACATGCTGTACATTTCTTATTAGTTCTAATTGGAGAAAGTCCTGCGACCTTTAACTTGCGTAAAGTTAGTTAGACCACTCTACAAAAATCACAAATTAAAGTCCAGCAATTATGTTTTGGATGGAGCTAATTATAACACTAGTCAAAGGTTAATTCTGCGTCACAGGAAGGAGGCTCTGTTGAAATGAGTTTGTATATTATCGTTGCTGAGCTTTTATGATTCTCTCCTGATTTTGTTATGCCTATGTATTTATATCTTCTTTTTCTCGGGCTATATTTAATATTTAAAAAAATGTACTTTTCTTCTAAGTCTTGGTGTACCACTTGACTGTTTTGGCTAGATGGCTATGTGTTGTTTTAAGCTCATTACAGATGTGGCAGCACTATAGCCAGGAGTGCACATAACAGGTACGCATGCGTGGCAAAAATCTGAAATGCGTACCGTCACTTGTGTCACTAAGCGCCTTTGCGTACAGACGTACTTGTGAAGCTTTTCCAGAGTCGGACTCCGTGTGCACAGACGGTGCGGGGCTGCTGTTAACGTCGGTCTGTACAACGGAATTGTGCCAAAACTACGCCAACCGGCTGCGGAGGGAGACTCCCCTGTGCACATTCTGTGCCCCGCGCACACACTGGAGAACTGCGCAAAATCAGCTGATCACAACGTTCACGGCATGCCCACCACCGCATCCACCCCCCCCCGTTCCCGAGATAGGCCTACTCCGCTAGCACAAGAAACCGTTTTGTAAATATATGTTGTATGCTTGATGTTTTACGACTCAAACCATAGAGAACTTGGGAACTTGATTCACTGATTAATGTGTTTATAATGTTTCTCTGCCCTATACTCTGCCAATCGCATGCATGTACAGTAAATTTGAGGCTGAAGCCAGCAATCCCTTAACTGAGCCATGGACAAATATTGGAAATAGGACAAAACATTTAGCCTGGCTCAGTTCAAATAAATAGTCCAACATGTTGTTTTTGTACAGATTATAAAGCATCTGTGAGCTTTAGAGCCTGGCCATCTTTTTGCTGTTTTCATTGTTAACATTTCACTAACTAAGTTCAGGTTGTAGCTTCATTTAAACTAAAACAATCCATCCTATTTAACATGTTGATCATATCAGTAACAGTTATTAGAAACTGTAATTCTAAATACATGTGCTTAGGTATTTTGCACCACTAGAATCAAGTCGACTCATTGTGTGTTGGACTGTGTGCTGGAGGAAATGTACCACAATCCAGCTTTATCCTTTAAGTCATCCACACTCAAACCCTTTCACCTTGCCCTTCTGACCCAACGTCTACCAATTGATCAGCCTGGCTCTCACTCTCACTTCCTCTCTTTTTGATCTATTATTCCTGCTCTCCTTCTCCTCCATTTTCCCATGGCTGGGGCTTAGGCTTGATACCTTTCCTGGACTTGTGAACAAGCTTCACTAACAAGCCAATGATTTCTTAATTTGTTAAGGAAGTGTAATGTCTGGTTCACTTCTCTTCAACACTCTTCCTATTTCCTCCAGAGTGCCAGACAGGAGAGGTGGGCACCCTCCTGCTGCTGAACCCAGTGGGCCAGAATGGGCTGGACTTCTCGGGCCTGTTGTCTGAGGCTGGGAAGGTGTTCGGCCTCCGCAGCAGACGGATCAAACTCTACCTGGACGAGGACCTGACCCAGGGTAAGATGAAAGGATGGTGCTTATCATATTGACTTCGGCAGCCACATAGATAATTCAAAACTGAGTTAAGGCCAATGTTTCTGGGCGAATAAACAGCAAGTGGATCATCTGATTTATGCCAACTCTATGCTTTTACATTAGATGAACATTTTACATTAACAAAACATTTTTGGAGCTTTAAATTTCACTTCACAAGTTGATGCTCATGTGCAAAACATGCAGATGACGGTAACCTTTTAAATACCATTAATATCACTTTTACTTTACCCTACATGTGTTTCAGTTCTGTATAGTTCAGGAGGGTCATATCTTATTATTAGGTCAGTGAGAAAGTGGCTAATATATGATGGCACAATTTGGAATACATAAACTTACAGCAAATTCTTTAATTACTTTTCAGGTTTCAGGTTGAAATAAACTTACCTAACCTCCTAAATTGAGCAGTTTTGAAGCTATCTTTAGAGTTTTAATGAAAACAGAGTTTTTTTTATTTTGGAACATTTGTCCCCACCAACATTAAGCCATAAATACAAACTTTCTTTGTAACTGATTAATGTTTCTATGTTTTTCAGAGTTGCCAGCTGATTCATCAGTCAAATTTCTCGACACCAAAACTCTGTTTGTGAGAGTTCTTCCTACAACTGCCGAAGCATAAATCCAGGGATGACATCTTTAGGCACATTTATCACAGATGGCCCATTTATCACAGATGGCCCACAGGTTCCCTGAAATAAGTTTTTTTTACCACCAACCGCCCCTTTGATGATATGCTATTTGTTTAAATCCCTTTGTGGGAATCCTGATGCAAAGCAGTCTTGTCTGTCAAGTTCACAACTGTTAATCCATGGAGTCACCCATGTCTTGAAATGTCTTGAGACGAATTTAAGCAAAACATAAGCGTGCCTCAAGAGATCACAGGATCTTCATGTGTTTTAAAGCATTCCAAGATGTGATGATCGCTCTAATGAATCATCGTTTTTAGCAGTTTCTTTCCCCCGTACTGTTTTTAATTTGTCACCAATTATAAGTGACAGTTTTCTAAGAAAGCACAGTGTGTTGCTAGGCTATATTTATTCTGGACAGAGAATAGATTTACATAAATTCTACACTAGAAAGTGGATGCAATTCAAGAACAGAATAATTGTTCATACATAACAGCTAAATGGTGCCGCTGGATGGATCTAAGCGTGGTCATGGAAACTGGAAATTGTGTGATGAAAGGAACACCTGACATTAAACTACCCAGAAAGAAATGCCAAGGGTTCATTTACCTCAGATTTTATTGAGTCTTGTTTTTAAATCTCTTCTTAGAAATTAAAATCCCAGGGAACTGTCTAGCTGTCAATATAACCAATGGACGTTTTTTGTCTTTATTATGTTAATGACAACAATTATGCAAACTACTTCTCTAAAAGGCTTACTTGAGGTGAGCTTAGTCCAGGGTAATTATTGCTTTGGCTCATCACCGGGGAACCAATTTGGCCTATTGTACTCTCACACAATTTTGAATTTGACAGATAAGACTATTCTGTTCACTGCATTTGGAATCCTTTGACAATTATAGGGATTTCAAAGGTGAAATTAATTTGCTGGCTGCTGTACCATAAGGACAAAAGGATTCTCTCATAAAAAGAGCAACACATGGATAATATACTATGTAAAGTAACAAATGGAATAAATCAAAGGTGACTAAGAATCAACATGTTCTTTTTGTATTTCTGCTCATACCGCTGATTGGCAGGAAGGCATACATTATGTTTGGGACTGACGTCGCTGCATCTGATTGCCTCAGATGTTTTTACACACTCATGGTACTTTACCATGCAAAAAGTGTCAGCCTTGTTAAAGAATTGGGACCTGCTTTGTCACAATAACTGTTTAAAAAAATCTACTGTGAGAAAATGAATTGTGGTTTAACGGTAAATACGAGAGGATTTGGCAGTAGGAGAATGCACTGTCTAGTTTTTCTTGGTTTCATATATCATCTTAAATAAGCCTTTAGAAAGCAGCTACTCTGTTACTCTATCACTGTAGCAACTTGATAAACCCTAATTGTATATATTGGGCTCCTGGAATTCCGTTTTTGAGAAACATTGTGACGGTTGCTTTTTACCGTCTTATTGTTTGTGACCTAAGGATTGCTAATATCAACTGATGGAGTCATAAACATGCATGGTCCTCTTTCTAGTTTCATTTTGACAATTGAAAGCTACTGTTTCATATGTCCTTTCTGTGGCTGACCCAGTAAATACATGGCCATGGAAAGAGACATTTATCATCCACTGGGTCATTCTTGGAGCCCCTTTTTTTTTTTTAAGAATGCCTCAGTCCTAGTTTTTAGTCTAAAACCCAGAGTGAACCAGAGGTTTACTGTAGACATGATGTGATGTCACTTTAAGAGTCAAAGAGACACCAATGTAATTAGACTCCATGCTTTCATCAATTTGACCTTATTCTTGTCTTAGGTTAGTGACCTTGAGGTTGGGGAATTAAAGTAGATCTGAATGTGTTCATTAGTGAAGAGGCTCAGAGGGATAACTTCTTGAAGGCAGTTCAGGTAACTCTCAATTGGGGGCGCTGCTGCAGAACCTCTCTCTCCTTTGACACTCACAGTACTATACTCTGAATGTACTACTTATTTGCATCCAAATTAAACTCTTGGATACAATATTAATCTTACTGATCACAAACATTTAGTTTCTGCAGGCTGATGGCACCAGTACAGAATTTTAAATTGCATCTCCCCTTAAAAATAATTAATAATTTTTTAGATTTCACACAGATGTGAAACAATTACTTAAATCCTTAACCTTAATTAACACTATCCAAAAAATACTAAATAAAATGTTAAGAGGTTACATGTATATAGATTAAGGTAAAAAAAAAAGTGTGGTTACTATAGTTCTTTATACCGATCTATTCACGATATACTGTACATTGTTTACATTGTAATACACATAATGTAATACTTTAAAGAAAGGATTTTATCAACTTATATAGGGCCTATATCACATCATTGTGACTGCTTGTTTTCCTCTTGCATGATATCTTGTGTCTTCAGTATTTGGGAACTTTGAGGGTAGATGTTTACACTAATACTGTAATTTCATTTAAAAGGCTGATCTTCTCGAACATTTTTCAAAGGCTTAGGAAAAAGTGCCACTTCAAATGTGAGAAGAAGCCTATAAAGTACTTTCCACCTGTGAATTTCAGCATCTCCATAATCAGTGTCACTTCAGTTTGATGGTTTTATCCTCCCCCCTCCTGGGCGGAGCAGCATGCTGCTTCACTGGTTAAATATTAAGCACACAGCTCTTGTCTCATCCTCCTCTCATCCGTCTCGCTCCCATCTGCTCCTGCTGCTCCATTTGTGCCTCTGCACACCCCAGCCTGGGTAAGAGAGCAGGTCAGATAGACATCACAGAAATACTCTTTGCATCATGGGCGATGTGAACATGACCCCTTTCATCTTCCTCTAATAATGGACAGCAAAACTCATCAGTGTGCTGCAGTGACAGTCAGCATAGAACAAAAGTTTCTCCACAGGGCAGAATAAAGACAGGTGTGTTTTCAAGAATACAACGACCAATAAGGGCTTTTTCCAACCAACCCACCCTGGCAACATGCGTGTGCTGCGTAATGGAAAAATGTAAATCTCTGCCAGTAAATCAATTTTCAGGCCCTGCATGTTGCTCACTGCAGAAAGACAGCAGCAACAACTTCAAAGAAGCAAGCCTTAGTAAAGATGATTAAAAGAAAACAAAATATCGAGACAGTACTGTATCTGATCTTACACAAATTCACCTGACTCAGTAAACATACATTGCTGCATCTAAAATGTACAAAGAAATATTTTATTTTCATTTAAATGAAAGAATAAAGAAACACCCAAGCAACCAGGCTAGTTGTGTCAAAAGGTTATCCATAAAGCAAAATTGAGTTAGGATTATGTATAATTCTTTAACTCCAAATGTCATATACTCTATTTTAAATTAAAATGTAACATTTCTCAACTCTGTGTTTACTACATTACAAACAATACATCTGGATTTAACATCTACAGTGCATTTTTTGCTTGCTTAGCCAGTAGGTCCAGATTGGCCAGAATCTCTTTATAAGCAGTGACCTACATAATGTGACCTCTGTTCCACATATGTTAATGTGATTACATAAATTACATCCTGCAATAATGCAAATAAAGACCTTGTAGCTTTTCTCATATTCCACATAAGAGCAGGGGTTGGCAATCCTTTTGATATGGAGTGCCATTTAAAATGTTCTTGTCAATCAGTGTACCATGATAACATTAAGGTTAACATTCAGTTAAATTATGACCCAACATCAATATATTAAAAAGAAAACTTTAAGGCTACATAAATGCCGCCTTAAAAACTGTTTTTGGTGTTTTCTTCTTCGAGTGTTAATTTGGCATTGCCCTTTTCCGTCGGCCATCTTTATCATGTTAAATAAGCACGTGTCAGGAGTTTTCTTTAATATCAGATAAGCATAATTAGGCGGACATTTTTCATTTGACAAAAATTGCAGAATTCTTGAGGAATGGACATGTATTGAAACTGCGGTAAGTGTTGTTTTCAAAGTTTTCCTTTTTATTTTCCAAATACAAACTGATGCTAACAAGCTAGCCACAAGTTAGCTTACATCTCGAATGCACATTCATTTCAGATCAGCTAATCACAACCAACATCTCAAACGTTAAAACAATGTAATGCTTAGGCTACGTTATATGATGCACACACTGGGCCAGTCAAGGAAAGCAAAAGGTAAGTGGAAAAACGGTTTATTATTAATACTGTAATTCAATTAATGGCTTGTGAACCGATTTGCAAACATTCGTAATTCACCGGACACCTGCACTGCAGCTAACGTAGAAAGCTAACTGTGTGTAGCATATTAAGGAAAGTCCCGTCTATTGTAAAAGTTTGAAAGGTAACATTAAAGCTATCTTAATTAAATCCCTTGTATAGGTGGTTTATACTGTTGTTAAGGCTGTTTATTAACAATGATGTATGACTTGTGACATTGCACAGCACACTGCAGCTCACTTTTTCTAACTAAAACCGTGTTCGTGGTTTGCCCTCCTTTTAATTAAATGACTGGTTAGACCCTTTTCTGAACATCACAGGCAAATCAGTACTAATTTCGAACAATAATGTATAACAATTATGCTCCTCGCCTGCACTTAGGAGACTCTGCGCCAAAAGTAACTAAGTGTCGGGAGGTGCGTGGTGACTGAAGGGGGAGCACCACCTCGTCTCTGCTACAGCTGGCTCTCTCCTGATCTTCTGAATGCGGCACCTATCTTCATCCTGATGCGCCTGCTCCTCCTCTTCTTCCTCCTGGAACAGCAGAAACAGGTAGGACACGTTTCCGATTTGGTAAAAAAAGAACCCACACTTCCCGTTAATGGGAGTGAAATAGTTGATCATATTCCACCACTTGACTAGCCTTTTTTAGTTTGTCCATGTCATGGTTGTAGATAATGGGAAATGCCCTAGCATCCGTAGTGAGATGCGTCGGCAGAAAGGTACACTGTTGCTACCCTCTCCGTCTGCTTTTGCCACAGAGTTGTGCAATCTGCCGCAGGTATGCAGTGGAACAGAGGGGAAGGATGCAACCAATTACTTGTTTTATTACACTCTTCTATACTGCTGGATGTGAGCTGCACATGGTGCATAATCTCTGAAATTATACAATTTGAAGATATACTTGTGGCTTGATGATATAAAAGGTGACCCATTTTCAGTTCAAATACGTTCCACTGAGAGCAGCAGTACTCAAAGGAGCCCCAGTTTGTACCTCTATGTTACCAGTTGCGATTGAATCACAGTGCTAAGCATCAGATTGTATGAAAACAGATACCAATGATTCAAATATCTTTCCAGGATCTTCTACTTTTAAGAAAGAAAAACATATTATTTTGTTGCCGTTTCTTTTCAATGTTTTATATTTTCATATCATTTTTTTTCATAATTTATTGTAAGCAAGGTCATATGACATTTTCAGATACTTGTAATAGGATATTGTTTCACAACTTGAGATTCTAGATGGCAAATATTATTATTTTTGTGCAACTGACAGGTGTGATATTAAACACCCTTTCGTGTTTTTCAAAGAAGCCAGCTCTGCCTTTCAAAAATATGCAATCTCACAAATAGGGTAAACTTAAAGAAGCCCAACTGAAGCTGTAATCAGGGATTCATTAAATGTGTTTACCTGTCTTTTTACTGACGGTTACCTAATTTGTTGAAAATCAAAAGTATGAAGTAAAACACTTAGTTTATGGTAATGTTAATTGTTGTTGACTTTTGTGATGATAGCCAATGAACCATTACTTTGATTAAAAGAGCCCTTGGCATTATTGTTTTTATTATACTTTAGTTGTGTAACTGTTATGACCAGTTGTGGATCAGTATTTGTGATTTTTGCAAGGTTAATTGTTCCATTTGTCAGCAGTCACAGTGTTCAAGGTGAACTAATGCAAATCACGAAAACGCACTCCACATAATGATACCTACTGTAAAAGGAGCCTGCTCACAAAAGTGAAATACCTTTGTCTCAAAATACAATTTATATTAGGTGGTTTATATAGGGTGAGAAATGCAACCATGTGAACACATTTACTTTTTTTTTAAAAAAACAAACCACTTCATATCTACATTACAGTTCTCAAACCACCTAT